AAGGCCAACATCATGAAACTTGCGGATGGTTTGTTCCGAAACACGGTCAAGAAGGTCGGAGAGGATTATCCCAGCTTGGAGGTGAATGATATGATTGTCGACAACGCTTCTATGCAAGCTGTATCCCGCCCGCAACAGTTTGACGTCATGGTCATGCCCAATCTTTACGGAGGTATCCTTACGAACATCGCCGCCGCGCTTGTTGGCGGGCCTGGCGTAGTGCCTGGTTGCAACATGGGCCGGGAAGTTGCGGTATTTGAACCGGGTTGCCGACACGTTGGTCTCGACATTCAGGGCAAGGATCAAGCGAATCCGACAGCCCTTCTTCTTTCGGGCACCATGCTCCTCAGACATTTGGGCCTTGACGAGCATGCCAACCGTATCTCCCGGGCGGTGTACGATGTGATTGCCGATGGGTAAGTGAAAAGGTTTGTATGTGACACAGAGACAAAGAGGCTGACTGGTTTACAGCAAGGTGCGAACTCGAGACATGGGCGGCTCGGCTACGACGCATGAATTTGTCAGGACGATTCTGGACAAGATGGAAGCTGAATTGTAAGATGTGATATACATAGGCTCGAGTCGATTGGACGTGTGTGATTGAAGCAGATGGTGGCCGATTCACGGATGCAATGGAACTTGACTGTTTTTCTTGACACTGATAGCCCGGTATTGATGTTAGAGGTGGACCCTAGGATCTGCAATTCAGCAATATTCCAATATACAAGTACATACAATGCAACACAGTGCGATACTATAAGATTTTCTGCTATGCGCTCTCTTCATCAAGCGCACTTTCCACCCACTCGTAGAGGTTTATTAGTATCGAGTAATCCATACTCTGGACGTCTTCGATCCGGGCCGAGAAATAATAGGTAGCTATCATAATCGCCTCCTTAAGCTCGGTATCGGTATCTGGTGGCTGGTAGTTGGCGCAAACCTCGGTCCAAGTTCCACGTTCCATCGAGCAACTGTTACTACCGACCGACCCCACACTTTGATCCTCACCTCAGAGGTCCAGAGTAGGGTATACGAGTCCTACATGTCGTGTCAATCTTCATAAGTAAAGGAGGCTTCTTGACTCAATTTCTACTTGATTTCATTTAGCTCCTCCTCTCAGTCTCACTTCGCACTCCTCACTCTCCCGGCCTTAGACTCTCTCTCCCTTTCAAGTGAATATAAGGAGGATATATATACACCTATCATCGTCCCTCCCACCATTGACAACGAGGTGGCTACATAGCTAGCGCATCAGACACTCTTGTCCTCCTTCTGCTCCATATTGAACACCTCCTTCTCTCACATATACGCGCACGTATATCCTTACCGACGAGGTGGTGTAACATAAATATCACCCGACATATTGTCCACCACATCGCCATCATGTCATCTTCATCCGTGCCGGCGCTCAACACACCTCTGACCAAGCTCTTGGGGATCAAGTACCCCATCATGCTGGCCGGGATGGCGCGTACTTCGGGCGGACCCCTGGCCGCGGCCGTGTCCAACGCAGGCGGTATCGGCACCATAGGCGGGCTAGGGTATACGCCTAAGCAGTTACAGGAGGTACGTCGATTACGTTCTTTTCTTTTTCCTTTCTAGACATTGCTGAACCATGTTGCTACGGGGTATGGAGGACGGGATACGTGGTGGAGTAAGGATGATAAGGGATGAAGGATGGAGTAGGAAGGATGAAGATTCGGGCTCAAGGAGGGAGGATGGAATGCAGAGGACAGATGAACCCGACAGAAACAATTGCCCTGCCCTGCCCTGGTGCTGCTACTGTTACTCTCCCGTCACTTCCCTTCTTCCTTCCGGGGTCTCTTCTTCCCAGCAGATTTGAGATCCACTCCAAGCCGACGGCTGACATTCCCCTGCCGCCCCAGATCATCGACGACCTCAAATCTAACCTGACAGACCCGTCGCTCCCGTTCGGCGTGGACCTGGCGCTCCCGCAGGTCGGGGGCTCGGCGCGCAAGACGAACCACGACTACACGCACGGGCAGCTGGACGAGCTGATCGAGGTGACGATCCGGAACGGGGCCAAGATCTTCGTCAGCGCCGTGGGCGTGCCGCCGGCGCGCACCATCAAGCGGCTCCACGAGGCGGGCATCCTGGTCATGAACATGGTGGGCGCGCCCAAGCACGCCGAGAAGGCGCTCAAGGCCGGTGTCGACATCGTCTGCGCCCAGGGCACCGAGGGCGGCGGCCACACGGGCGACATCGCCAACAGCATCCTGATCCCCGCCGTGTGCGACGTGGCCAAGAGGTACCGCTCCCCCCTGACCGGTGAGCCCGCGCTGGTCGTCGCGGCCGGCGGCATCTACGACGGGCGCAGCTTGGCCAGCTCGCTGATGCAGGGCGCCGTGGGTGTGTGGGTGGGCACGCGGTTCGTGGCGGCCGAGGAGAGCGGCGCCAGCAGGCTACACAAGGAGGCCGTGGTCAGCGCCGACTTCACCGACACGCTGCGCACGCTGGTCGTCTCGGGCCGGCCGCTGCGCGTGCGCCTCAACGACTATGTCGCCAAGTGGGAGGCCCAGCCCGAGCGCATCAAGGAGCTGACCGAACGGGGTATCGTGCCTATGGCCTACGACCTCGAGCAGGAGGCCGAGATCGACATGCCCTTCCTCATGGGCCAGGTCAGCGCCATAATCAAGGACATCAAGCCCGCCAGGCAAATCGTCGAGGAGATGGTCACCCAGGCCGTCGACATGTTGAAGCTCGGCGGCACCTATATCGAGGCAGCACCGAGGAGTAAGCTGTGATTGACATGTGAGGTGCAGGGCCTAGTCGTGCGCATTTGGGAATTCTTTAGTGCCATTTGAGACAATATTATAGTGAGAGACGACCATGTGAAAACAATAAATAAATCTCTCGGCCCCACCACTACCGACCACTTACCTCGACAGAGACTTGGGTGTCTGAACGGGAAGATGAACGGGGAAAAGTCACCTAATGTATGGCTCACACCTGGCAGTGATCTATGTCAAGCTGGACGCTGAAAGGGTAACAACACTTCATGAGCATTAGCTACCGATCAATACAGCTCGCTGGGTCCTTCTGTAACTCCTATGTACGCCGTCATTATCATCTGTAACGCTGTGTCGACACAACACCTCGCTGGTATCCGTGTTGTTGTTGTTGGTGTTGTTGTTTTTTGGTCCGGCCTTCCCGTGGCCGCTATGCCCTATAATCTATACTTCCATATCGTGTACACTTGAACAGAGTGATTGACACTGGTCTCGGTAAAGATGGATGCGACTCATAACTTTTGTTTCGCCTTGGATTTTTGTAGTGGTCTCGGGCTGTGTTTATTCCGGCATGATCAACCAATCTGCGAAGTCGAGTTGTTACCCTTGTACACTGTCCCATGGACCTTAATGCTGACACCAACGGCAATTCCCACGGCGGCTCCAATGATCATCAGCCCGACGAGCAGCTTGACCAGGAGTCGTTGGCGTGGAGACAACCGAGTGAACCACACACATCCTCTGGGCTTCGGCTTTGTCATGCACTGCTTCTCTCTCTTCCAGAATTTGAATCTGTCTCTCGCCGCCGAATTTTGTGCATCTTTTTTCTCTTGGGTGATTGAAGGTGAGAGATTGAAGGTGCCCGCCTCCAGATCTTGGATGGCCACTTGGACGGGATTGCAGGGCTTCTTGACGTCAACGGACGGGCGGGGAGAGTCATGGTTGTAGAGGTAGAAAGGGGAGGTTACTTTGGCGTTGCAGCAAGGATCGAACTCCGACTTGGGCCGATGGATCGAGGAGGGCGGTTGTTGCTCAGTGAGCTCGGTGGCTTCAACTGCGGTTGCCATGGTTGAATGTTTTGGTCGGGAGTGACAGAGGTGCCAATGCAAACTTGAAGAGTTGCGGGGGGCTAGAGATGTGGTCTTTGAAGCCAATGCTTCTGAAGGAAAATAACTAGTAAGTGCCTAAGGGCAGAGGGCAGAGGTTTAAAAGTCCATGGTCAGCATGAAGCGTCAAGTTGGTGAGGATGTCTCGGGTGATGCTTGGGACAACGGGCGATGGCGTCGAGAGACGGAGTCTCAGGTGTCAATTTAGCACGGTCAACTTTCAACGATCGACTGTCAAGATGGCGTCTCGAGGCCAGGCAGGAGCGTTGCCAGGAGGCGGTGATGTCAAGATGGATGCTCCCTTCCTAGGACGCGTGCGAGGTAACTCGGAACCTTTCTGCGCACGAGGGACCAAGTTTCACCTTTTATGAGTGACTGACCGTGACAACCGCATGGGAAACCCGCGGGATTGCCAATATATTGGGGCGCCATGGCCCGATGCTGGTTCCCGGATGAGGTGTTGGTTCATCTGCCCACCGATTGGGAGCTGGACCCGCGTGCAATCAAAAAGTGACCAGGCTCCATGAAGCTTTGAGTGGGCGGTATGGGGAAGGCAAGGGGAAGGCAGGGAAAGGCTGGTCCTCGCTCGCCCTGGCGATCAACAAGGAACAAAAAAAAGGACGCCACAAGCGCGCCTCCCGTTGAAACCACGACGGCGCCAGTGCTCGGTGGCGGAAACGAGGAAGGCCTTGTGGATCACGCTGATTTGGTCGATATCACGTGGATTTGGCTGGAAAATGCCCAGCGAGCACTGCACTGGGTTCCTCGTACTCAATATCACGGACCCAGCCCACAGAGATGGAGCACTGGGCGGCATCACCCTGTTCTCCTGCTTCTAAGAGCAACTTCGTTACAGGACATACTGCATGGCAAGCTGCTGTTACTCCCTTCTTGTGATTCATAACCTAAGTTTTGTGTTCCTCGGTAGTGCTCGGCTATCTGGCGAGCAGGCACATGGACTGCAAGATCTGGGATATTAGGATGAAGGGATTTCCTATTCTCGTCCCTAATATGCGACCTAACTAGCTAGCTTTTGGACAAAGACGACGCTGAGAGAGCTCAATCTATCAAGGTAGGTCGCGTACATGTACTTAACATCATCCAATGTCCGCCAAACGAAAGCATTACTTTCCCCATGACGATGCTATGACTCTCTGAAGAAATCTTCTCGCACAATATGGCTCTTGTCGCACATGCCCCGGAAGATGCCGCCTGCTTCGAATAGATTGATGGGAGTATCCAACTCCGCAATTCTGCCTTGATCCATCACGCAGATGCGGTCGTAGTTGATGATGGTCTTCAATCGGTGAGCAATGCACAACACCGTCTTGCCCGCGAAGCCTGTCCGCATGGTCCGCTGAATCTTCTCGTCGGTCTCGAAGTCGACCGACGAAGTCGCCTCGTCACAGACAATAATCTGCGAGTTCCGGACTAGTGCTCTGGCCAACGCCATCAATTGCCGCTGACCAAGCGAGTAGTTCAAGCCTTCTTCTTCCACGGGACTGTCGAGATGGATCCGACTGGGTCCAGGCGGTGCGTTGACATTCGACGTCGATGTGGCGGCAGTTTGCGCAGTATCAGGGCGATCTACCTTCTCTGCCGTCACCATCTCATCTCCCGCAAGATCTGCCTTGCGAAGTGCTGCCCAGAGCTCCAAATCGGAATGCTCGTTGAAAGGATCAAGGTTCGATCGGATGGTGCCTCGGAACAACGTCGGATCCTGTGGGATAATGGCTAGACGCGAACGCAAATCGTAGAGCCCCACAGCTGAAATGTCAATGTCATCAATCTTGATCTGTCCCGAAGTGAGCTCCGTCAATCGGAAAAGTGCCGACATGATCGACGACTTGCCAGCCCCAGTGCGGCCGACAATGCCAATTCTCTCCCCGCCTTTGACCTGAAAGTCCAATCCATGAAGAACGAGCGGTAATCCCGGCCGATACCTCATCTCCACCTTGTTGAATGTGATCGCTCCCGTTCGGGGCCAATTATCGGGCACTTCTATACCCTTTAATGGAGCTTCTTCCTCCAGCTGAGTGCCATAGAAGTGCAGTCGCTCCGTCGCGTTCATGTTGTTTTCCACTTCGGCCAACTGTCGCACGGTAAATTGAATCATCTGTACAATAGCCAAGACGTAGGACAAAACCAAACCCGCTATGCTAGGATTAACATTAAAACGATCTGTCACCACCAAGATGCCGGTCACAAAGACCAGCATGTTTCCGATGGCATCTAGTCGCGTAGATAGCCACCGTTGATTTGCAAATGTCAAGTAATATGCAGAGTTCATCTGATCAAGGGCATCCCGCAGGCGTGTCGTAAAATATGCTTGGAGGCCGTATGCTCGAATAGATGCCACTCCCGAAATAGACTCCGAAAATCGTGCAAAGACGGTGGAGCGGAGAACTGCTTCGTGTCTTTTGATTTCCCGTGCTGACGCTCTGTAATAACTTGATGCGAACAGGAACAAGATGAAAAGGGGTCCCAAAGCCACAGCAAAATAGTGAAAATATGCGATGATCAGGGCGAAGACCGAAGTGATCATGGCTAAAGTGAGGAAATACATCCTCATTGCGTCGGTCAGACTGTTGTCCATCGAATCGACATCTTTTGAAAATCGATTAGTGATTCGACCGAGAGGAGTAGTGTCGAAGAAAGACATGGGCGCGCGTAAAACTCGGGTCATGGCTCTCTGTAACATGACCCTGCTGGCGTTGGTGCCACTTGTGGAGAGAAGGGTCGAAAACGTGAACATCAGCACCGCTTGCGATAGTCCCAAACAGGCGTATGCAGCAATGTATGTGCCTTCAGAGAATCCGAACTTATCACTCGTCCACCAACTGAGCCATAAGCTAGTCACTATGTTCGCCCCTTGGGATAAGATAAGGGCAAAGAATATGAGCGGCCAGAGTATTAGCGATCCTGATGCACGGATGTAAGCCCCCCAAACAGTCCAGCTAACGGATTTGACGGCGCGCTCTTCCTGCTGCATCAGACCTTGAGGCTTGATTTTCTTGCTCTTCTTTTCGGACTTCTGCTCATTGGCTTCCCCGCTCTTAGCTTTTGCCAGTGCAGTTTCATCCTCTTGAGCGGTTGTAGCCATCAACTTTTGGAAATCGACGCTGGTATTCATCAAGTTGTCAAACGTGTCGATAGCCTGGATATGGCCTTCTTCCATCCATATAATCCGGTCACACCGGGAAAGAACATGAAGTTGATGAGTCGCTAAGATTCTGCATTTGTCCTTCATCAGGCCACAAATTGCTTTATCCATGATGTGACGGCCAACATGGGCGTCCACAGCCGAGAGTGGGTCATCCATCAAAACGATGTCGGCATCAAAATAGATCGCCCGTGCAATATTCAACCTTTGCTTCTGTCCGCCTGAGAGAGTAATACCTCGTTCACCAATCTCGGTCTGGTCTCCCGCTGGCAGGATTTCCAAGTCGGGTTTCAACGCGCAGGCATCGATGACATCTCTGTACCATTTTGACTTGTATGGCTTACCGAAGAGGATATTCTCCTTCACAGTGGCATTTTGGATCCAAGCATATTGCGGGCAAAATGCGCGAGAAGATCCCATCTTGACCTTGCCACCCGTTTTGCGCATGTCTCCAGCTAGAGCAGCGAGAAGTGAAGTTTTGCCAGAACCAACAGTCCCGATAACGGCGATCAGTTCATTCCGGCCCACTGTGAAATCCATGTCGTGCAATTTAAATGGTTCCACCTCCGTGGTTTCACTTGCAATGTCTTCGTTGGATGCCCCAGGAGATTTCTTGTTCTTCTTTGCCGCCTTTTCGGCTTTCTTTTGAGCCTTCTTCCGTTCCTTCTCGGCTCTTTTGGCCGCCATGAGCTCGCCCCTTGTCTGGAATGTCCCAGCTCTCTCCTTATCTTGAGTTGCGGTCCGTTCCCAGGTAAAGGAAGCATGTTGCACTTCGACTGCAGGCTCCATCTCCTCATCCCACATGATCTCGTCTTGCTGGTCTTCAGATAGTAGAAACTCCTGAATACGCTGAATCGCGGTCTGGGCATCTGTAACTTGTCCAAGAACCAGAGGAAGTAAATTCAGCGGCATCCGGAGGGAGTTGAAAAGGGCTAATGACGAGAATATCCGCGAAGGAGCAAGACCATGGTCAGAGAGCGAATATGTGATGAAAGCCAGCATTGCTGCAAACACTGGCATTGACATGGCAACCGCGTTGATTGCATTTCTGATTGATAGCAAGACCTGAACGGCCCTGATTTCTCTCTTGCGGAGTTCCTTCAGCCGGTCCAGAAAGCTCGTTTCCCATCCAAAGAATTTGACAAATCGCACGGAGCCCAGAATTTCCTGTGTCAAGCTCACACGCTGATCGGTGACTTTGTTAATCTTTTTCCTCCTTGCTAAGAGAGATTTGATTGCTTTGGTCAACATGGGCAGCACGATGACCAGTAATGCATAGCCCGCCAGAGCACTATAGCCAATGTTGATACACAGTACGACCAAGACGACGATGATCTGGATGGGCGATGTCCACATGATGTGGAACAAGCCAGAGGCCTGGTCGATGCGATAGGTATCGACACTCATCAGATTGACAATCCTGCCATTATTCCAACCGACGCCGTCTCCGGCAATACCGGCGCCTCTATCAGGTGTAACTTTCGGGCCAACCTTGGAATTAAGTCGCTTGGAGAGGATGCGGGCGAGAGTCGACCTGGCCTCGTGCTTCTCGTCTTCTGTTTGCACCACCGTCTCGGACGCTTCCTCGGCTTTTATGGCCTTTCCTCCAGCCTTTGCCCTTCCGGAGATGACCAGAGATTTCTCAAAAATGGCGTTGATCAGCACGGCTCTGCACTCTCCTCCAACCATCATGCCACGGTAGATGAAATGATTGGTCGCCATCGACTGACACATTTGCATGAAGGTGATACCGATTACTAGGCCGATGCCATGACCGATGCTAGGAGATTTGCCTCCGATCTTGTCGGCAATCCAGGCATCAGTAGCAAACTGAATCAGGTAGCGGGTAGTGAAGGGCGAGAAGACCTGGAAAAGGGCGGAAAACAGTGCACATATGGCTCCGAGCAGAAACTCGCCTCGAAAGGTGTCGAAAAGAGCAAACATCAAAGGGTTACGTTCACCCCGCGCAACTCGACGTTGGAAAGAAGCCGACAATTTGTCCCTCATGGTCGTAGCACTTCTGTCGGGATTGACAAGCCAGATGTCATTCAACTCGATTGGCCGCTTGTAACCCGTCGTCATGAGCGGATTCATCCATTGAAATAGTAACAGGCTGAGGAAGCTCGCGTTGTATTCTCGACATACTGTCCTCTCCTCTGGTACCGGCGGAGGGTTCCAACGGAGCGGGTTTATTCTGTAACGCCATGGTACTTTCTCTGACTCTTTCTGGTGTGCATAGGCAGCAGTGCTGGCTTCGGTCGCCTCAGTTACGCTCGATTCGATCTTTTCCAATCGTGTACTGTCTTGGCTCCTGCCTCGCCCTTCTCTTCTCGGGTCCCTGGGGACCTCCAGATATCGTACTCGCTCATCTCTCTTTTCCAGATCCTGCTCCTCGACATCGTTCCGGGAGACGCCGCGCTCGAAATCCTTCTCGTCGTCGGTATGCGCCATGGCGTTTGCTTCCGGTCTAAGGGACAGTCAACAACGAGTGGTGGTTGATGGAGTCTGTCGAGCAGTCCATGATGGAGTGACCGTCCACGGGGGGAGGGGCAGATATTAATATGTAGTGTTACTCCCGAAGAATCGGTGACGGGAAGACTGAGAGCCGGGAAGTCATGACTGGGAGGGGGACTAGGATCAGGCGCAAAACATCCTCGGTGTTGTCGTAATGGAAGTTGAGCAGAACCTTTACGGCAAAGCGGCCACAAGCGAGGGGAGAGGCGTTGAATGGGCGGAGACGTCCTTCTGTCGTAGAGCTAATGGGAGCAGAGGAGATGACCGGGCAGGCTGTTCATGATGCAGAGGGGTGGACACGACAAATAGAAGTCGAGCCATCAAAGATGTCGATTGGGGCGGCTGTTTTGGTTGCATTCTTCGAGTCTAGCTGGGCTTGCTGGGCGGGCTGGGGTTTGTGAGGCGCACTTTTGAACCACGGACTGGAGTGGGTGTTCAAAATCTCGACAATCCCAATTGGCGTTTGCGAGGCGAAGCTTGTATCTGCCCATTTGCCCCAACAGAGTCAAGTGGAGCGATGTTGGTGGTGATGCTAGTACCTAGTACTACTGGAGCTTAGCAATCCAAACGCCCTGAACGGGCAGCCCAAGATCTCCGCAAAATTCAATTCTCTCATGAAATGTGCCTTGCTTCATTACAGTTGATAGTTCTCTTTTTTGGAATGTGGATGGATGGAGGAGCGACTTCAACGGAGTGGATGCCTCTTTTTCTGGGGGGGGGGGCCTCCACGGTATTGCGGGCAGCGAGTAAACGACCACCTTGCCTCCTTGACCACCCTCGTATGATCTCACCTCTCAGCGTCACCAGTATCAGTGTATTATCCTCCACAGTACCTGGTACCTGGCTGCCTGGATGCTCCCGGCTCGTGGCTTGCTCAAAACGCTCCACGTTAGCCGGTCGAGTGCTGCGCGACTGCTCAAACACGTTCTTGTGTATCCCCAGAGCGGTACCGCCATTTCATCCGCCTAAACATACCTTACATTGTGCCACAGGCGGCAATCACGCGGTGAAGACGAATCCAAGAAGCCACGGACATTATGCATGACTGCCTGAAGCCCGGCCGCCTGACCCCACCACGTCTTTGGGATCCTCTTTGCCCCGGCAGATGACTCTTCGAACCTCGCTACATATACCTGGCCGGGTAAGACGTGCCGGCAATAACATGAAGTGTCTTTTTTGTCGTGCGGGAAAAAAACCCCTTCCCGACAACCTTCCTTGTAGTCTATTATCTTGCGAGATTGACCCAGTCTACGGCCCTTATGCCTGTTAGCTCGGGGCCGAGATTCTGTCTATACTTTCCGATCGAATGTGGAGGCAAACACGATGCAGTCTGTCCTGTCTGCCTGAGATATATAAAATCAGGACGATAGCAGACATCCCGCGGGTAAACCGGCTCCTTTGCTTACGGGATGCATTCTGAACATGTGGAGGAACATTATTGTTGTTGGACTCAAGGTCGAATAGAAGCAACGACTGAGCAGGGGCATCAGCTGCTTCAGGAACGACTAATCATTTAACACACGATGAGGTATTTGTATGGCCCTTGGATGGTATGTAGATGTCGAAGTGTGAGCCCTGTGGTGGCTGGCCACTTATAGGGAGTACTACCGAGTATTGCTGGGGCTATCTGCTTAAGCAATAGAGTTGGTTCATCAGGCAGACGCCAACAGCCACTTATGGACGCAGGAGTGTGGAAACATGCCTAGCAGACAAACCTTCTAGAGAAACCTGCGCCAGCCGCTCCTGGATACATGCACTTTGAGTGAATTTCCGGACTTGCTATTCTTGGACTTGTTCGCCCGTTGCCGTCCAGATGCCAGACACACCAAAGGACCTACCTGGCTCGATTACATTGAATCCTGCGTTCCTAGGAATATACTCCATCCTTGACCTCCAGAACCGGTCCGTCCGGCAGAAGACCTGGACACCGGCATTGGCCTGAAGGACTAGACGGGAGCCTGATGCTAATTACTCGCGAATAGGAAAAGACAAGCGCACAGCATCGCTGGAACCACCTTATGCAGCACACCATGCACTGACTTTCAATTCCCTATCGTCGTGTCTTCCTTTCAAATGGTTCGAATAAGCTATTATCAGATCCCCTTGAGAATCGATGTCTGATGACTCAGCCCCGAGATACAAAGTCGCAAAATCCCCTACAAGTTCGTGCTTGCAGCGACCCCTTGGAGAAGGTCCGTGGTCCTTCGCAGTTCGTTGACCTTTTTGTCAACCCCTTTCCAGGAATCGGGTCCGATGATGACCCTCAACAACTTTTCTCTTCTAACGAGCCCTCCAGCTTCGCCTTGTCCAGTTGCAGCTTCAAACATCACTTGAGCGGCCTTGTTGGGGTCTCCCATTGCCACCTTGGGCAATGTTGAAATGAGTTGAAGCCTTTGGTTAACTGGATGGTCACCGGCGTATTCCGCGGATGGCTTAATGTGTTTGCCAGTACTCGAACTGCCAAACTCCGTTCTGTAAGCACCTGGTACGATTATGAGAACCCTGATCCCAAACTGTGCAACCTCCAGGCTACAAGACTCGGATACAGCTTCCAAAGCGGCCTTGCTTGCTGCATAGACACCGCAGGCGAGGCCCGGAGCAACGCCTTGTGTGCTGGAGACATTCATGATAACCCCGGATCTTCGTTTTCTCATCCCAGGAAGGACAGCCTGCATAATTCTCAACGGGCCGAGGAAATTGACCAGCATCTGGAACACAATATCGGCGTCAGGGATATCCTCCACAGCCCCCAGAACGCTCACGCCAGCATTGTTGACGAGTATGTCAATGCCGCCGAAGAGGGACTCGGCAAATTGCATTGTCTTCTGGATTTCTTCTTCTGTCTGTGTCGCATCGAGCGTGATCCATTTCCCGCCGCTACCTTCGACTTCGGACACCAAATCTGGCGTTTTGGAAGGATTGCGGGATGATGCGATGACAATATGGCCTTTGGCGATGGCGTAGCGAGTCAATGCAAGCCCCAGGCCAGACGAAGTGCCAGTTATGAACCAGACTGGTGCTGTTCCTTCGGTAGACATGTTCGTACGAGAGCCACGATGGATGGAGAATCATAAGTCTACTAAAGAGATATTCCGACCCATTCTTAAATCTAGGCGAGGATAGTCACAAGTGTAGTGTTATATGAGTACGCCGGTCAGTGAAAGAAGGTATCGGACATACGCACGGATTTTGCACATAAGTCGACTAATGCCAACCTCATGGAGATCAGATCAGCTCTGGTCTTGAGAGCGTCTTCCAAATGCGTTCTCTTCGTTCTGCCGTGTGATTGATCAACTCTGTGAGTGTACTTTGGAGGCGCCAGGGGAGCCAGCGCGGTATGAAGTGGCTCTGCAAGCCGCTGACTGTGGCCTGTCCGTATTTACGTGCTTTGGCGCTCGGCACCGTCGGTAGAATAATGGAGTTGGTTCGAAACAAAAGGATGTTGAAAGTCTGCTCCGCCGCCACACACACAACTACCTCGTACCTGGGTATTCATCAATGTTATGCTTCAGAACTGTACATGGAGATAATGAAGTCACAAGTGGAAGATCGGTAGAAAGCCTGGAACTGCCTCGGAATGTGATCGGATGTGGAAATGGAGCAGGATTATTTCGGAGCTATGTGATTGGCTCTGAGGTTCGCAGTAGTTGCACGCCACCTGCCCTCCTCTTCAGTCTTCAATCCAATCTCAATTATCTCCCACAGCTACTTCGTACTCTCCGCTCCAGTCCATCAGATCATCACAGGTCCTGCGCCATCAGTGCTGTACCTGGCAAGCTTCCACATTGGCCATGGCAGCTCTACGCACAGCATCGCGCTTGGTGGCGCCCGTCCGAGCTACCATCCGACCTTCCTACACTGCGAGATCATACGCCACTGTTACCAAGGACAGTGCCTCTGATCTCTCCGCCAGCCGACCTCCTATCCCTCCGTCCAAGACCAGTACGGTGCAAGAACCAAGGCCGGATAAAGATGCAAAGATCAAGACATTCCACATCTACAGATGGAACCCAGATGAGCCGACGTCGAAGCCGAGGATGCAGACATACACTCTGGACTTGAACAAGACTGGCCCGATGATGTTGGATGCGCTGATTCGAATCAAGAATGAGGTAGACCCAACGCTGACCTTCCGCCGAAGCTGTCGAGAGGGCATTTGCGGCAGCTGTGCAATGAACATTGACGGAGTCAATACTCTGGCCTGCTTGTGTAAGAACTGGCGATCTGCTCCTGGATTGTGCTTCGAATTTACAATGTTTACAGGCCGAATTCCTACGGATACATCGAAGGAATCCCGAATTTACCCCTTGCCACACACCTACGTGGTAAAAGACCTGGTCCCTGATCTGACACAATTCTACAAGCAATACAAATCTATCAAGCCTTTCTTGCAACGAGACACAAAGTCACCGGATGTATGTTCTCCCGACATGCTCCAAAGAGGCGTTTGCTGATGGGTTTCCAGGGCAAGGAAAACCGACAGTCGCCAGCTGACCGGAAGAAGTTGGATGGGTTATACGAATGCATCCTCTGCGCTTGCTGCTCAACTTCATGCCCATCTTATTGGTGGAATAGTGACCAATATCTGGGCCCTGCCATCCTCCTTCAATCCTACCGCTGGCTGGCCGATTCTCGTGACGAACGCAAGGCCGAGCGCAAGGAAATGCTGGACAATAGTATGAGCTTGTACCGATGTCATACCATTTTGAACTGCTCAAGAACCTGCCCGAAGGGACTCAACCCCGCCAAGGCGATTGCAGAGATCAAGAAGAGCATGTCTTTTGCTTAAGTTTGGTGAGAGGAAACAGAATTCGGGGCGGAAGAGTTCCTAGTGGCTGTTCAGGTGTGCTCGACGCCTTCAATCACACAATTTGGTTTCATCAGATAGCAAAATGCTGTATATATAAATGCAGTATGGCGTACATGAAGTTTGATGATTTGACAATAGCCGGGGCCCCTTTCATGTTCCACGACATATCACATATCACGGCATTGGCATCCGAAGACCTTGCACAAATGGGGTCCCCGTATCACCATCGGCGGGCTTTCTCCTTCCTTATCAACCTATGGAATGCACTAATCGCATTCGGACCAATATAGCTCCGCAGCCCAATGCGTTGATTAAAAATACAAGTCCATAACAATCGCGCAATTGACCCCAGGTATTGCGATTTCCTCTCCTGCAAGTCTGAGAGCATATCCTCTGTGCATATAATTACGATGGATTGCTCGTGCTCGGGTCAAGCTTTCGGCAGCTTACGCCTATGGATCGAATCCCTGAGGCCGTCTACCACCAGTCGGAGGACGCGTTTGGCGGAACGCATTCCGACTACGTCGCAGGCGCGACAACAACAGTCACTCACCGACCGGCCCTTCGATCAGTTATATCCCTTCGATAAGATATCTGCTGCGGATGCCGGCGATGACGAGACCGTCTTGTATCTGGGATATGGATCTAATCTGAGTGCTGAGACATTCAGAGGGAAAAGAGGTATACGGCCGGTGTCGCAAGTCAACGTTCTCGTGCCAACTCTGTCCTTGACCTTTGACCTACCGGGCATCCCATATGCAGAACCGTGCTTTGCCAATGTACGTCATAGGCAAGAGACTCCCCAACAAGGGGGAGACTTCGCAACTGCGAAGGACTACCATAAAGATCGTTGGTCAAAGGGTCTGGTTGGTGTGGTCTACGAAGTGACAAAGTCCGACTATGTGCACATCATCGCAACAGAAGGAGGGGGCGCAGGATACCAAGATGTGCTCGTCGATTGCTACGCTCTCAGCGGGGGTCCGATGGAGGATGTTCCCCTGATGCCGTCGGGGCAACCTTTCAAAGCCCATACTTTGTTCGCACCCGCAAAGACCACGCGACCTGACCCTTCCTACGCGCAACCGAGCCCGAGATATCTCAAACTGATAACGGACGGCGCCGAAGAACACGGATTACCTCTCGAATATCAAGCCTTCCTGCACCAAATTCGATCTTTCCACATAACAACCACAAAACAGAGATTGGGCTCATTCATCTTTCAAAGTGTGTGGTCTCCCTTCTTCTTGTTCTTCGTGGGTGGTGCCGCTGCGATATTTCTGAAACCAGATGGGACGTATCCGAAGTGGTTTGCGAATTTCTTGAATGCTATGTTTACGGCATGTTGGGCCAGTTATGATCACTTCTTCAAGGAGACGTTTGGAGACGGCGAGAGGACCATGAGGGACAAGGATGACGCCGACGAAGGCGATCTTGGATATACGAAGATCGAATCTCTCATGGATGAGAAAGAGCCATTGACTGAGCGAGTGCAACATAAATACGGGGCGGTGAGCACGGTGGAACGAATTGTATGAGATTGGTTCGAGAATTTCGATGAACGATGTTCGGATAAACTGTTGAAAATGGCTCTGAATCGCCTTCTGCTTGACTTGAAAGTATGGCCAGTGTGTTAAGGATCTGGTGAGTTGAACAAGCAATTTGTGCCGATTCATGACGGTGGCCTTCTACACCCCCCAATCCAGCTGCTGCCATCTCCTCTTCTCGCTTCACTCCTGCGCCTAGTTCACAACCACAACAAATTCTCCCATGATCTTGTTTCTTATGATCCAATCCCATCTCTGATAATGGACAAGCAATCTCACTTCCATGCCTCGTTTTCAGCCCTGGTGAAGTGCCTCGACCAGAGCTTTCGGAAAGGGGGACTAGTGAGGCAAGTCTGCACCATTGAGCGGTGCATATCAGCAAGCTGATCAGATCTTCTCCACAGCCTTCCAAACGTTATCATCAAGCCCTTCAGGCAACCCTTCACTCCCACCGAAAGCTCTCTGCTTCGCGATCTACTGAGGCTCTTGGAGAATGGCCGACCAAAAGATATCGTCCGTCTTGATTCGCAGTCTTTGTACGCTGTCACGTCAATCATTCTCCATTTCCCTTATTCAGAGACGCAGAATAAGCTGCTATATGCCTTCATGGTAGGTGGGTTCCCATGAGCGTTGGGATCGGGCTTATTCGGTCAGGAAACGATCCGACAATACCAAAATGAAAACGTGTTGGCCCCAGTCTTGACTCGGATCCATGGAACTGAAGTAACTCCTGCAGAAGTCAAAGAGCAGGGAGACTACATTGGAAGGAAGCTAAGCTCCTGCATACTACGCCATCTGGTGAGCAGTGAGAAAAGATTGCAGCACCGCTGGAGGGTACTGACTTCCCGCAACCACAACCCCCCGCTAGGAATATTGCACGAAGCTGACATTACACAGCTAGCGCAATTTCTCTCTGTCCTGCTTCGCACATATTCGGTTGCGACAAATCAGATAATGAACACTGCTGAGTGGTAAAAAGCAAGCACCCAGTATCCGTACCCTCCCTAACGCTGAGCCAGCCACTACTTGACGGGCATTCTCGAAAAAGAGCGGAACTATTTCCTTCGCATCCTCGTAGCTGATGTGGTCCGAGAATTACTGTTCAATGGTGCAGAACGGGAGCCTCTGAAGAAGTCGTGTGGCAACCCTACCATTGTGGATGACTTCCCTCTTTCGAAGAATGGCGATTCTATGTGGATGAGCAGGGCACTCGACCACCTCAACGGAATCGACATGGAAAGGGCGTTCGTTGAACAGTATGACCGCTCTTTGTGAGACGTGCATTGTTTAGCTAACGTTTTGCAGAGCTGAACGTATCTTCCGAGTACAGCGGCTCGCGTGTGATGGAAACAAGTATTTCGAGAGTCGCTCCCCATTCATCGCAACGGTGTCGAGCGAGATCTCGTTTCTAGTACCGAATGGAGTGGATATGCTCACATTGTTCTCTGTCCCAATGTCGAAGAATATCTCTCTCACTCGGCCAGCGTCAGGGTCTGAATCGTCTGCGGTTGTCGAGATTCGGTATCCTGGAATTGAAGGGGATCGGTTCATAAATGGGGCCAAAAGTGCTATAAACACCCTCACTATGACACTTTGTGACAATGAAGCCGTGGAAGCCTTTATCCACATGATTGAGGAACGGCGGGTTGTCCCTGTGCTGGACAACGTACCAAGCGCTCCAGGGACTCCTAAAAAGCAGTCGGTTGCTTTCATTGAGTTAGGATCGGCTTCTGAAGACGACAGTCATGAAAAGAGTAAGAGATTGGATGCTAGGATGACCTCTGAGGCGGATGGTTCGTCTCCTCTCAGTAATATTTGGTTACGTACACGCCGGGAGGATCGACTGACAGCTGCATCTACGACACATACTCATACTTCGAAGTCTGGGTCGAGTTCTAGTGTCAAGCCGGCCAAGGACACACCTCCGTTGAAGCGGCCCTTAAAAGTAAGACCGTTGATTGAACGACTACGTGCTTCCCAGGAAGGCCCGAAGGGTGCGCACTCGAAAGCCAAAGAACGCTCACGGCAGTCGCAACTGCGTTACAGGGATTCGGATGCAGACCTGGCGAAAGGTGCATTGGGAGAAGGACCATCATTCAACTTGTCTGTGGCTGTTACTGCCCCGACTTTTCAATCTCAACCACTTGGCCTAGGCCAGACTCCTTCGTTCAACAAGTCGATACACAAGCAGCCCGCTGACTTAGACAAGCCAGCTTCCAATTCATCGAAGGGAAGGGTCAAAATCATCGGTTCAGATCCTGGACGACGTGGTGATGAGCGAACAGTTGGATCTGCCCGCAAACGGCCCAGGGACGAGATCACCATGGCAAAACTAGCTGAAACCCAGGCTGGTTCGGAAGGCAATTCCCAAGTTGGCAATGCTCTGACGAAAGGGGGCCTCAAACGGAAGACCATCAAAGGCTCTTCGGCGCACACGAACAAAGAGTCACAGAAACCATCTCAATTCACCCCAAAAACAGCTCAATTTGACCTTCCCCCTGAGGATGACGAGGAACCCCGTCCCACGAAGAAGGCGAAGACGAAGAATCCGAAGCCCACGTCTACGGCCTCTGTGAAGGAGTTTGTAGAGAAGAAAAAAGGGAATGTCCAGGTCGCAGCCTCACCAAAAGGCCAAAAGAAAAGGGAACTCAGGAAGAAGTTGGGCAAGAGGTCAGAGAAGAAGATCCAGAAGACGGCTACGTCGACGCGAGCCAGACGAGCCGGCAAAACACCAAAATACGTAGAAGAATCCGACGAGACCGATGAAGAAGAGGAGATAGAGAGGCACCACCAAGAGGATGATAAGGTCGACGAGGATGTCGAGGACTCACACCCACTCAGCAATGGAGCGCTAGAAGATGCTCTGAAAGTTTCACAGCTCGATTTTGAATCAAACATGCGAAGGACCGTCGAAAGAGACAGCACAGCGGGGAAGGATGGGCGGACAGAAAGAGCTCCTTCGCTAGATGCTTCAGACGAGCAAGCCGAACCAAAGCCCAGTCCTCTCGTACAATCTGTCTGTCATGAGCATACTCCTGCGAGGAAGGATAAGCACGTGCCGAGTCCTCCGGGCGCAAAGGCTGTCCCCAAAGACGAGCCTGGTATAACCACCCATGCTAAGCCAAATTCTACCATTGTGCCTTTTGGTCCTCAAGTCCCTGACAATCAGGCTGATCAACAAAAATTCCTTGCGGAAGTAGCCGGGCCTGGAATTCCAAAAGAGACCAGTCCGATACCTCAACAGGCAGGATTGATTCAGGGTGAACATGTGGTAGACATCGACGAGGTTATTCAAGACCGCAACTTTGAGCCGGTACTAAAGTCACCCGAATTCAAGAGGATCCAGCCGTCACTCGCACAAGATGATGGCCTTATCCTGGAAGACCCCATTGAAGGACGAGATTCGGTCGTTAAGACACATGTTGAGGACCGAGACGGGCAGAGCGCCGAAACGCAGAATGGATCGGCGACGGATATGTCCTCCGATAAGGAAACCTCGGAGTATGTCCTTCCTAAAGGTGAAGAGGCGGCAAGCGAGCAGTACTTCCAGCTGCCAAATGCCTCTGGCTCTCGGAAAACCGATATGCAACAGTTGAAACCACAGAAACCCCTTCTTGACGACGAACCGTCTGCCTGCGATGCCACCGAAGCTAAAAGACCTCTATTTTCTCAAAAGTCAACTCGCCAGTCTATCGGGATCAACGCCATCTTGGATGAAGAATTTTCCCAGGCTCAAATGGTCGTCAACACCGATAAACTCCGTGCAAACCACCAGCGCCCCACAATGGGGGAATTCAGTCGAAGGAGTGTTGCGCCCGACATGCCCTCTCCTGTCTCCCGGGAGGTGGTCAAATCCGACCAACTTAGATCGACCTATGAAAGAGACGAGGTGGAAGCGGTCTGTAATGATAATGTTACGTATAGTGAGTTTCAAAGTCCTGCTTCGCACACTATACGGGGGATTGCGAGCGATGTCTACGACCGAACTATTCCATCAATGAAGGAAAATTCACAGATTGTTCCACAGCATGCGCATGGGCTTTCCATGTCGCTACCACGCTCTGCGGCCGAGCCAATGGGCCCTCCTACGCCACGGACCGACCCATTCGCATCAGTTCAGCGACCCAATCCTCTTCGGAAATCCTGGTCTGAATCACAGGCGGAGAGGCAGGCGGCTTTGCCTCAAATGCCAACGAATGAGGCATATGGACCAGCCATTATCGGACCTGTTCGAGTGAAAAAGAGCTCGAGTCTCCCCCATGCACGTGCTGAACCCGTACTTGAACCCGAAATTCCTCCAGCAACGCCTGCCTCCTTTTCTACACGCCTTAACTTAGACCTACCCCTCCCGGCAAAGGTGACGCCAGGCAACGAAGGCTCGAAGATGACCGAACGTGGAGATACGTGTCAAAACGCCGGGAATGACAGCCTGACCCTTGTGAATGAAGACGAAACTTTTTTTGGAGATCGCTCAGGCAAGGGGTCCAGACTAGGACGGAGACAACGATCTGAATCTGGGGATGATAGCTTCGCGATCTCTGCGACTTTCCACAGAACGGGAGAAACCGTCAGACGGGGCGATCCGATGATTGGTTCTATATCTGCCCGTGAATCCCAACTGGGTCTTTTAGATGCGATCATCAACATAACCAATGTACGTCGGCCGTTTATATCTTGTGATCTCCACTGATATGTGCCCAGGATGTCCTATTCCGCTTTGGCACAGAAGAAGACGCCATGAAAGCAAAAGTTGACGGATACCATCGTGGGGGAAAGGAAATCATCCGAACACTAACAGATACATGGAATCAACGTCTGGAGCACGAGAACCGTCTCCTGGTAGATGTGTTAAAGGTAGAGAAAGAGGTTCTCACTACGGCACTTCAGCTCGTGGGAGACCGACAGCATTCGGGTGGAGCGTGGAAGGAGATAGTTTATGATCAGGGGTTAACGGGAAAGGTACAGGAGAAGAGAGACAGCCTTCTCAGGGCGATTGAAAAGTTGGCAAATAGAGGCTGAGTTATTATACTACGTGATGGAGGATTTGTCCGACCAAATTGTCACGGAGGGAAAGAGGTGATTTTATGGTTATGCACGATTGTAAGTGATCGTCTGTTTTCGAAGTGGACTCGCGGGGAAAAGGGATGTTTTCCTCCACAGAGCCCAAGACTTTTCGAATCTGAGGGCATCATCTTTTTTGCCTTGACCGCTGTTCAGAAATGTCTTCCCGTCGCTGCCTGCGCCAGAAACTCCTCGGGCATTTCGACTTTCTCGACCGTACAATTCCCTTCTTTATCAACTGAAATGCCGTGATTCTTCTCAATCACCTTCCATTCCGCTATCTTGTACGTCGTGGGCTCGCTCGCTACAATAACGTGCTTGCCGTGGTCCTCCGGTTTGAGAGTGGCGTTGGGGTTCTTCATGCCGGAGGCATTGTCCGGGTACTTCCTGTTTAGGGTCACGCCGGCAGTGGTGCTGTAGTACAAACTTGGCGGGTTCTCAATAGCGTGGTTGCGCAGGCGCACGGCGATCAGCTGTTCGCCGTCGGTGCAGCACACGTTCAAGGAACAGGCCTGGACGTTCTCAGCGCCCAGCGTCTCCTGTTGCAGCCGAACAATCATGTGGAAGGCCTCGACCAGCGCCCCCAGCATTTCTTGCGGCGTATATTGCCGTTCCCAGCTCTGCGGGCCACCGCTGCCCCCGGCACTCTTGGTCAGATTGGTGATGTAGAGCGCCGCCAGATGCTCCGAGTCGGTCGTGCCGTGGATATTCTCGTACGCGGACTTCTCCACGAGACTGAGCAACGGCCGGCGGATGTCTGTGAAGTGCGAGATCAGACCGTTGTGCATGATGGTGTGCCGGCCGAAGACGAAGGGATGGTTGTTGATGGCCGCGACCGAGGTTCCTGTCGCGGCACGGATGTGAGCGAACACCGCGGTCGTCGACGTGCCGGCGCAGATGCTGTGGAAGTTTGCGTCGTTGTTCGGCGGCTGGGCATTTTTGTATGTTGCGGGCCGGATCCCATCAATACTTGTGATAAACGAGGAGCGGACGGGGGTGTACCATACTAAGCCGAAGCCATCCACGTTGTTCAAGCGGTTGCGCAAGGTGATTTCAAGTTTCGAGGTCTGTTCGCCGGGGACGTGCGAGAAGAGTTTTGGTAAGTAGTGGTCATGAACTTGTTTGGCAATCCCGTGTTCCGGCGCGATGAGGACGTCCTCTAGGAGGCATTCTTCGGAGGGCGAAATGTAGGCGAACCACCGACACATGTTGAATATTTGTTTATCTTATAACTATATAGAGTAAGTATAGCCTTTTTTTTTACTGTGGATAAATCAGTTCCACCCGAATACAATTTTCATGGACAAAGGGAAGGGACAATTGAATCTGGAAAAGTTCCGAAATTAATGCGGTGCTCGTACCCGGCACGGCAGATATCTCAGGCAGAACGGAGGTACATTTGCGTAAAAGTAGCAAGACTCACTATTTATTTGGAGAGACGCGCGAAGAAATGGGATGAAAGAAAAAGGAAAATGCTGAAGGAAAAAGAACGTAAGGGGAATTTCCCCACGCTTCTCAAGCTGAGGTCCCTGTTTCTTCTTACCAATTACTCCATTCTTACCCAGTGAGTACGAGGTACGTAGGTGCGCTTTACCCCTTTCCACCCGTGCAAGGGATCAAACTGGGAATAAGATGCAGGAACTTGTTGCAAGATCTTGTATCACCATATGTGATCTCTGTGCCACGTAATCGGTCAATCAGCTCCGCAGGGATTTCGGGAAAAAGGTGGCGACCCGGCTTGCCGGGTACGTCATTGACAATAGCCGCACCAAGCTTTTGCCAAGCCTAAGCGCAATCTAGCGTGTCAAGGGGGCTTGGCAGTTTGCTAATGTAAGTATTGCCAAGTGAACGCCTTTCTCCACTCGTCTCATCCTTCTCTCACTTGTGTCACACTGGGTCACATCTCACTTTTGACTCTCATTTCATTCCTCGCGTGCTGTTCCTTATCCACGAGACATTGGTAGCTCCATAAGGGTCTGTTCCATGACATTCAACATGAATGCTAAAGAGATACCTCGTATGTTGGATCCAAGGCTGCATTCTGCTCGCCAGAAGAACCCAATGGGTCGGAGGCCATGATCTGACCGCAAGAAAAAGAATCCAAACATCCTACGGGTCCTGGCTTGGGCTCCCGCAAGAGGAGCATCTCATGGGGGTCAGGAGCAGATTCTAATCCCAAGAAGAATCTGAAGGGCGCGCAAGTCCCAGTGTTGCCAGCGCGGAGGACCGCCTCACGAGGGTCGGCATCGTTATGTGCGACCTCCAGACGGGAAACCCAAGGGCTCATCATTGTCTCTGAGGCTGCAAGAAAATCAGAACACTACCAGAACACTTGGTGTCGCCGATGCCGGCTCGCTAGGCAGACAACCCACAAGTAACAGCGAGAAAGTCGGGTTTGAAGTACACCAGCAATTGAGGCGAACCGTCTATCAAAAGCCTAGGGTCAAAGTAACCAAATGCAAAACTAACAAAACCCTCAAATCGCTGATGAGGCCTGAAGCCATGCCCACTGAAGAAAACGCAATCATGTGCTCATGCCAAAACAACCTGGCACGGAAGACAGAGTATGCGTTAAGAGACAAAATGACATGACACCAGAATTACCGGGCGGGAGGTGTCGTTTGAGGAGACCGCCAGAGTCCAAGACAAGCCATCCATTCAAGTAAACACTTGGCAAGAGCGACCAAACGCAAAATAGCAACGGCCTTCATTTTGCCGGTAGTGTTTCTATAGCCGGCGAGCACTTGGCGTGCGCCCGAATGCACACACTTTTGCCAAACAAGGCTCCAAGAGAACTTGCAGCCCGTCCCTCAGGCCGAATGGTCAAATCGACTGAATGCAAAAGTAACAAGTCCCTCAAATTTCTGGTTGGTAAGAGAGCCTCTCTTGTCATAGTCATGCCGACAAAGGGCTAGATGGCCAAATGACATTCAAAGCGGTGCCTGAGAATAGCGATACAACCAGCCTCTAGCCAAGTTTGAGCCATTTCAAGGCATCGAGACCGGGATCCGCTACTAGCGGCAGTGACAGATCTCAGCAAGATGCTGGCCCATGCAGATGCGTGTCCGCGGATTAGGTCAGGATCGGCCACGGGCACAATCTCTGAGAAACACAGTTCCTCTGGCACGAAGATCTTCTAAGCCATCCACAACGGGCAAGCATAATCTTATGTACAACTAGTATGCAACTGCCTATGTCTCAATGACGATACAAATACCGCGAATGCGGTTCCGCAGGGTGGAACAGGTCAATGAGAAAACCATGCTGGTGACAACCACTGGGACCACAATTGATCGATCACGAACAGCCTCATACTGGCTCAAGACAAAGTCCCAGAGCGCTTTTCTACTTTCCAAGTTGCTCACTTTCGATAGACCTGTGTCGCATTGTGACGAGAATGTCCTGCGCTACAACATGTGAACAGACAGGATTCTTACAATCTATTGGGTCTCTTTCCGAATGACGAGCCGACCCCAGCAGCAGCCAGCTCCAGAGACTTAATCTACTCGAGTTACATGGATTCCTTGACAGACTCGCCGCTGTCGAAGCTTCATTCTATTTTAACTCACAATCTCAGCGCCAGCCGAACAACGGAAGACGATCCTGTTCATCAGTGAGAGAGATATGATACGTCATAGTTGCGCCTTTTCCCATGGGGAAAATGTGCCCACTGACCCAAATTCTAGATTTGTCACCAGAGACCAATCCTGTGCCCGCTGTGGAAGCAAAGCAGCGCGAAGGCACCACGAGCTGTTGGGACGAATGGACATGTCAGTCATACAGTATCACATTTGCTGTTTGGGGATGGCAAAGAGAGGGATCAGGATATTTCTGGAAGACGATCTTGGGACGACATCAAATCATGGCAAGGCACAGCCGAGGCGAGCAGACCGCAGCATCTTTCCAGTCTATCAGCCTCACGGGAGGAGCACAAATCAGCCGCGCAGCACATTCAGCAGAAGAATCGTGCAGGGATGGCTGGACAGAGATGGGCCATAGGGGCTCGACAAGTTGAAGGGTTAAATATTAATTGCTCTCGAAAGCGCAAAGAGGAGAAAAGCAGGGTAAGCTGGTGGTGATGATCGGAAATGCTGTAAGACAACGCTGGATGGGGCAGACACTATGACGATGGAAATGTCGTGGAAAGACAAGGCAAACTGGGTGTAACACTGACCGGAGAGAGGACCATCGAATATTGCAGAGTCTTCGGGACGTCTGCTCCGTACCTGTGGATCAATTCCATTGGATCCTGTTGAAGCCGTGTTAATGTCAATCAATGGAAAACAGTTTCACATAGCAGTCCCGCTTTCTATTCGACGTTCAAAGCCTCTTTTATGGCTTTGATTGAATGGTCGTCGGAGGACCCCCTGACTGAGGGTGAGGTTTGCACCGGAGAACAAACCAAGTTGCTCATCACTGAGTCTCTTCTGCGTCGCTCCCCGGTTCACAGAGGATTCCTTCCATTCGCTTGACTCGTCGTGCTCGCTCATGTAGACACTCGCGCTTCAATGGAGGCGAAGAGTCAAGCTAATCTCACGGCTCTTCTCCCGTACTCGACTCATATAACTTCTTAAACACCCTTCAATCTTCCATGACAGCGATGCGATCACTGTCTAAGATAGAGTCAAGCCGATGAGGTCCTGCGATGGTCAAAACTGCTTGTCCAGAGAACTCATCCCTGATCATACGCCAAACAGCTTTCCCCCTGACCGTATCCAGTTGACCTGTAACCTCGTCGAGGAGCAGCACACCTTTTCCACCGTTGTGTTTTCGCTTTTCTTGACAATTGCTCCTTCCGTTACTGCCACTGTCGCAGCTGCTCTTGCGTAAATTTGCCCGGGTCAGACTGAATAGCTGCTTTTTCCCGGAGACAGGAGCTCTGAAGCGATGATCGTGTCTAGCCCGTCATTCTTTTCCAGGATAGGCCACAGAAACGTCTTGGCGAATGCAGAGATTATTTGTGCATTGTTATGCTCACCATTGGGATCCACGTTGAATCGCACAGTTCTCCGTTGGATAAGAAAGGAATCTTTGGGGACGCTGAGGATACGTTCTCGGATTGTCGCGTGAGGAACGGTGCTGAGATCGATGCCATCGACAATTACGGAGCCTTGTGATACATCCAACAGTCTCAAAAAAGCGAGGAGGGAAGTCTTGCCACTCTCAGCGCGTCCGCGCAGCCCAATCTTTTCACCTGGCCGAATCGACATTGTGATATTGTTGAGGGTATTGTCGGACGCATTGTAACCAGCAATGAGGTTGTGAAGCTCGATACCGCCATCTGAGCGGTGTCTCCTCTCCCGGTGTGTGGGTTGCAAACTCTCGAATTCGGGCTATTGATCCCAGTGAGATCTCCAACTGCGTCCAGTACTGAAGCAAAAAAGACAAAATGTCATTAAAGCTTAGGATGTTGTTGAGAGAAAGGCCTAGAGAGCCTGGATTGGTGGATGTCCGTAGGCTGACGGCTAGTATCATCACGATCAAAACCAGTGCGGCTATGACGAGGTCCAGAACAAGCTGGAGCCACCTCTGTGCGCACTAGAGTAAGTAGTAAGGAATCTGTGAATCATCGAGCTTTTTAATCATGCGGTCTGTGAATTGTTGCTCCCAGTGAAGCCTCCGGATGCTGCTGAGCCCTTTCATTGTTTCGAGGAAGTGGGAATATAGCGGGCTCCTCAGTTCAAGCTCAATAACCCGGAGTCGACGAGAGGTCTGAAGATCCACTGAATGAAGAACAGCGCGAGCAGTACGGCTGGAACAGTCAGAGCCATCCATCTTGGCCCGTTGCATATGAGCGCCAAGGATCCGAGTGTCCAAAAAAGATAGATTGTCGTGCAGAGTATTACCCCAGCAAGTAGTTGGGACTAGATCAGAGCCATACCCTGGCTGAATCTGTTGAGCAATATGCCAACGTCGGTCTTTGCGAGAAACAAATAAGTCCCATTTGTTACAGTATCCAGCAGTATTCGATGCAAGTTCGCAGCAGACTCCGGCGCCAGTTTGAGAAACTTTACCCAGGTTGTAAGACCGAAGAATATGGCATTGTCACATGCCAGGAAGAAATAGAGTGGCGTCCATTTCGCGACATCCAGCCCACCGTCTGCGGTCCACCATTGCAGGATGACTTGGGACATGTAATAGCAAATTGTCTGGACGATGGTGAATAGAAAGAATGAAACGACCCACAGCCAGCCCATGCTTTTGAAGTAATAAGCGTAGTCTGAGAAGTCACTGTCATTGCGGGCAAGCTTCCCAGCCAACCCAGTCCCGGGAACAACCACAAAGATTTTGATCTTTTCATCTGTGGGTTTCGACTCTCCAATGCTTGCAGGTAGATCCGCATCAGTGTTGAAAATGCTGTCGTCGAATCTAGCTGCTTTCAGAATCAAACTGGCATTTCTTTCGCTGTCAATCGCGAACAAGCAGTCCACAACCTCTGCGTAGCGCCAACTCTGAGCAACAATAACTCCAGTTGCATGGAGCTTTCGTAGAAGACCGTCTCGTCCCAGTAATCCCTGTATAACTGGTCTTTCCGTTTCCAAGTCCGAAGAACTTAGCAAATCATCAAGCAGGTTCAGTCGAGGTCGCAGGTATAGAGCACGAGCGAGCACAGCACGCTGTTTCTGACTTCCATTGAGACTGGAAGCTTGGCCATCAATGTGCGTCAGGTCGCCTCGCGGCAATGAAATAAGCTCATTTTGAAGAGCACACGTAGCAAGGACAGATCGATACCAACCCTCGTCAAAATTCTCAATGTTGGTGCTGCAAATGTTCTCCTGAATAGTACCTGTAAAAAGCCACGGGACTTTTTCGCAGTAGATAAGTTCCCCTCTTGACCATATGGGCTCAGAGTGGCACATTTTACCCATTACAGCTCTCAAGAATGTGGATTTACCTGAGCCGCTTGGCCCCAGAATGAAAGTGACGTTTCCGGGTTGGAGGATTGAATCCAGAGTTTGAAGAATATCATGATAGCCGCTGAGCCTTCTGGTATTGGAACGGGATATGCATGCAGCATCCTGAACCGCACGGAAGCCGGAATTCTCCTTGTTCGGCAGAGCATTCGTTTCAGTAACTTCTCGATTGAGAGTATGAGCTCGTGGTTTCATCAAGTACGCCTTGATCCCGCTTAGACAACCGATGCATGAGGCTGCCGCGGGATAAGCTGTCAGAATATTGGCGGAAGGGGCTGCGACCAAAGAGATGAGAGCAAGATTTGTGAAGGCCTCAGAGGCATTTATTGAGGCAGAACCCTCAAGTTTGGCTTTTATTGCGTATGCGATGAAGGTAACAGCTGCAGCAAGAGCAGGCGGCACGTTTCCTGTCCAGTGGTCGTCAGATGTACTTCCAATTAGCTTGCACAAGATAGGCCCTACCCAATGTATTCAGCCAAACAGTTGATTGGCGAAACTTCACCTGGAAGCGCAGCTCGCGTAGTCTTTCATTCTGGAGCATCAAATGTATGGGTCCGGTGAGTCCTAGGATTTTGACACATTTAAGGAACCCCAAACCTCAACCGTTAAAGATATTCTTTGTTGGACCGCGTCGTTCCATGTCTTGACTTTTCCGCCTATCATCACCGTGACGCGAGAATCGGCGGTGATGCTAAGAAAAACAACAATTAGTGGCATCACGGACACCCAACCCAATTTGCAATGCCAGCAGAATGGTCCCAACAGCCAGCTCCAAGGGGCGAGACCAAAGATCGGGAAGCACAAATACACGTTGGTAGATCCGGTCCACGTCGGTGTTCATAAGTGTCAGGATGGCCGATGGACCGTCAAAGGTTTGCTCCACGGAGACTGTCTCAGAGTAGATGAGGGTAACAAGCGCGCCTCTGACCAAGGTAATATGACGGTACAACTGATGCTTGTAGATAGCCGTCGATATCTAGATAGACATAGATTAGCACCCACCTTAACAAAAGGATTAGGCTCCCCACCGCTATTCCCACGTAGATACAACCAGTTGCCGTTATGAGACCGTAGCCGATGTCATTTCCTGTCCGTGGTTGAGCTAGGCAATGAGTGGTTCAATGAATGAGGAACGGCTGAGTGAAGACAAACCCGCCGTAGCAGAGCCGAGCCGGTACTGCTGACAAGATAGACCATCGAAGTGCTCTCCAGAGGGTCCAGAGGAGAGGCCATTTGACTCGGCGGTCTTGCTTTGACCACTCATCGTGGATTTGTTGATGAATGGCAGCTGAGTCGAACTTGCTATCGATCGCGCCGAGATCTTCAGAAGATATTGGCTTCCTAAACCCTTGAATGAACATGCCATTCATCCAAATGAACAGCCCGCGGTTCAAGATACCGCTAGTGGGTTTTATTGGCAGAGCTTGGAAATGCACCTGAAGAAAACTTCTCTTGCTCCATGCCTCAAGGAGAAGCATGGCGGCGTTAATAGCCACCATTGTGGAAAATATCCCTGCAAAGTCATCATGGCCTTGCAGAAGGTAAAGTGTACGGGCCTGAGGGATGTCGAGTATAACTGAGAGGGCAAGGTAGGAGTTCAAGAGCGTCGATGGTCGGATAGAACGTTGATGTTCGAGGTATGAAAGGGGGGCGATGATTGTAGCCGCACAAATTGCCAGCACCGTTGCAGAAATAGATGTGGTCTTTTTGATTGAAGTAGCCGCGGTGTAAAGGAGCAGGAGTACTAGCTGAATGACGACCAGGAGACGAGCCGCTATTACTTTGGCAATTGAAATCTATCCTTGCTTGGTGGTACGGGTTGGTACATGAAGCAGGGCCCACAGGCGCCAGAATGCAAGGAGCAGGAAGATGGCATCGGGAACAGTAGGGAGAATGGTCTGCTCGAAGAGAAGGGTGAAGTCAAAGGATCGAGCACAGGATGCTACCGCTGGGCCAAATTTCTCATCCGCATCAGGCTCGCAGCTGGCCATTGTCGAGGTTAACATCTCACTCTGTGGCACGCGAAGTGGAATAGATGCTGAATGACATTGTACCTAGAGTGAGTCGGCCAGAACGCTGAATCAGTCGTGGGGGCGCGAGAAAGAGGGGATGCTACCGGAAGACTTTGAAGGCGATCGGTATGATTTTGATAATATATGGATGCTGCCTGGTGGCGATGGGCCACGGGAGGGAGTTGATTCAAGCCTTCAGATAGTCCATCACACGCGTACCCTAGCTTTGACGACGCACTGAGCTGAGTATATTGGCCAATCTCATTCTGTTAATCCTATTTGTCATTGTCCTTTTGTCCTTTGGTATCAGAATCGGCCATGATCACCAGGCATGACGAACCCTAGCTAGACTCGATGAAGCAGTGAGAAACAAACCAGTAAAATGCGTTTGTGACCATTGGTGTTGAGCTATTGAGCTATGGAAAGGCTGTAGTTACTGCGGCTTACTTGAGGCTTGAATCTAGTGGGACAGAAGGCGATCCATTCAAGGGATAAGAACTCGATCCCTGTGGAAATCGAGCGGTCACTGGCTCAGAAGAGAGTTGATGGTGGGCGCGACGCTTTGAAGTTCCCTTTCAAGGGGGTTGTGCATCGGCGATGGCCCTGCCAGAGAAAAACGGTGCAAGTTCATAATGGGACCGAGGCGAGTTGCAGTGGCGTCGAAATAAGCCAGTTTTCTGATATTGTGTCTGTGTGCTCTCTCAAGAATGATTGTATCTGGGAATCGACGTTGAGACAGCGGCATCAGGAGCAGCGACCTGGACATAAACCTTCGCATAGCCAAGGCTTTTCTCAAGGGGCTTTAACTCGTACGCGGTATTACACAAGCCACTTCATTGCCTTCGAAACGAGCCACAGGACAACTGTGCAACTTTTGTATAATAGATCGTCTCTCGTCTTCTTGGATCATTATAATGTATTCCTGAGCTCTTACTTCATCCGACAAGCCTCCATCACCCCTCTCACCGCCCTACCTCGTCTTCGATCTAAATGAGCCATCTCCTCTAGCCCAATTCGCCCTCCAATGTCCTTCCAAGTGCCCCAGAATGTCCCTTCGTTCACCAGTTCTCAACGCGCGTATGAAGATACATATTGGCGGCAGAAGCACAATAGTAATGGACATGCAAAAGGAGGACCTGCCGGTGCAATCACAGCCAAGATTAACGACATCTTTGCCGAGAGCAAAGATCTGCCCATGTACAAGGATAAACCACACTTTCCCTCGAGTCGGCGGAAAGGAAGAGCCTTCTTGAGGCGAAAGAGAGTGTTGACCTTGATTGGTTCCGCAACGCTACTGTTTCTCTGGTGGATGGGATGGTTACCTTGGGGCTCCCCCCAGTTCTACGATCCCGCTGCCCATCAACATTCTTTCTTCCGCGCAGAAGACTGGTCAGAGCAAAGAGAGGCCGTGAAAGAGGTGTTCAAGACTTCATGGGAAGGCTACGAGAAATATGCGTGGGGAATGGATGAATACCACCCTCTTTCGAGGAAGGGAAAGAATATGGTTGAAGGTGGCATGGGTTGGATCATTGTGGACGCCTTGGATACTGCCATGATGATGAATTTGACTTCGCATGTCGCCAGAGCAAGAGAATGGATATCCACATCGCTCTCCTATACCGCCCATCACGAAGTCAATACCTTCGAGACTACTATCCGCATGCTGGGTGGGTTGTTATCTGCGTACTACCTGTCAACATCATTCCCACATCTCGCACCGCAGAGAGATGATGACGTAAACCAACCTGGAGAAGACCTATACATCGAGAAAGCGACAGATCTTGCAGACCGTCTCCTCGGGGCCTACGACTCCCCTTCTGGAATTCCGTATGCGTCGGTGAACTTGAACACTACCCAGGGGGTTGGTTCGCATGTCGACGGAGGAGCATCCTCTACCGCCGAAGCGGCAACTCTCCAACTCGAGATGAAATATCTCGCCAAAATCACAGGTGAACCAATATACTGGCAGCGGGCGGAGCACGTCATCGAAGTTATTGAATCACAAAAACGCGAAGACGGCCTGGTCCCAATCTACATATATCCCGCCACTGGCGACTTTCGAGGTGAAAATATACGGCTGGGATCTCGAGGCGACAGCTATTACGAATATTTGATCAAACAATACTTGCAAACAGGATGCGTTGAGACAATTTACTTGGATATGTGGGAAGAGGCACTTGAGGGGATTAAGAAACACTTGATCACCTATTCTGCGCACGCATCACTAACCATCCTTGCCGAAAGGCAAAATGGACTCCACGCCCCTCTGACGGCCAAGATGGATCATCTTGCGTGTTTCATGCCAGGGACAATAGCCTTGGCAGTGACCGAAGGCCAGACAGTCGAGCAAGCGAGAGCCAGACTAGGGAGCAAATGGACAAAGACACATGACGAAAACCTCAAACTCGCCGAGGAATTGATGAAGACGTGCTGGGGCATGTACAAGGTCACTCCGACGGGCCTTGCCCCTGAGATTTGTTATTTCCATACCGACAACCCGGCTCCGCAGTGGCAAGGACATCTTGACTTAGCGTGGACACCACCACATACTACCGAGCTCTCTGATGATCATGATGCTGACTGGCGCTCTGACTACGACATTCGTTCAAACGATGTGCACAATCTCCAGCGACCCGAAACTATCGAATCCCTCTTCTACATGTACCGCATCACCAAGGACAAGAAATACCGGCAATGGGGGTGGGAAATGTTTGAAGCCTTCCGCGAGCACACCAAGGTCGTCGACGAACTGACAGGCAAGGTGTACGCATACGCCTCCCTGGACACGGTAATGGAGAACCCTGTTCGAGAAAGGAAGCGGCGCGATAACATGGAGAGTTTCTGGTTGGCCGAGACGCTCAAGTACTTCTATCTCTTATTTTCAGATGATGACTTCTTTCCTCTTGATACTGTTGTGTTCAATACGGAGGCTCATCCGCTGCCAAAGTTCGACATCTCAGGAAGCAAGGTCTTTGCGACAGGGTGGCGCAGGAGCAATGACAAGTCTTCTGAGCAGAAATATGAGGACAGGATGGTGGACGAGGACTTTAGGCAGCTCAAAAACGTCCGTGTTGGGAGTGGCGTACGCATCGACGAGAATGGGAAAAGTATCCCGTCCAATGCAGAGGTTGAAGAGAAGCAGTTCTCTGTTGGTGTTGACGAAAATGAGCGCGAACCAGCTCAAGGTCTGTCAGCACCAACACATTCAGATGGCAGAAAGTTGGAAAATACGTCTCTTGAAGACGCTGAGGGCACTGGCAAAGAGGGAAGTGATTGATTAGGGGGAGCTCTTATCGGGTTGAACAGTGAAAACCCCTTGTTCGGAGAGAAATAATTATCTGTCAATCAGTCGGGATTGACACCAGCAAGACTCATTAGGCACTCTGCATGTCTCGATGCTAGGGAGTGCTGTATCAAAATTTGGTTACACTTGCATGAAAACAAGGCTGCGCATATAACGGCGGTCCTCCGGAGTTGGGTTTCAACGGACTAGGAGCATTTGCTGGATGGGATTTTTGTGAAAGAAAAAGCAGCCCACGGAATAGAGAGCGTTTTGCGTATCCGAATAAACGGTTTTCGGCTCTGGGGTGTTGAAATCACAGCTAATCCTGCATTTCTTGACTCCGGCATTGTTCGATTGATCGCAGATTTCCTTCCCGTGGCTTCCTTCGCCCAACCCTTGCCTAGCAGGTTGGGCGATAACGAGAACAGAGTATGTTGAAGCACGGTTTCCTGCCTTACTCCCAGTGGCCTGTTGTCTCCGGTCTACGTAGACGAGGACTTAGACTGGTGTAGTTGGTCGTACTTGTCATAACAACAAGAGGACTGGGCCCCTCAGTCGCCTCTCCTTGAAGTCGATCGCTCCAAGAGACGGGGACGTTCCTGAGAGACGGCTTCAGGTCCTCGAAGATTGCTGACAGCCATCAAATGCACTTAGCAATAGGGGTCCTTGGCTTCTTAGCACAGGTCCCCGGTCTAGCCATCTTTTGTCGAACGGTGTGTCGGTCAGGGCATAATTTCGTGGCTCATGGTTCGTAGCTTGCGTATTTCCGTTTCGTTGGTCTGGTATCGTCGCGTTCCCCAACCAAATCGGTCGTTTGTGGGGTCGGTAATACTGGTAATAGGTGTCGTCGTTCTCATTCAAAACTTGGGCCCTCTGCTGCGTCCGGTATATTTCGAATCCGTCTTGACGACTTTGCCTTTATTCCTCATCTTCTCTTTCTTCTTCATCACCCAGGATTTGCTGCCCTTGGGAGCTTCCCCTCCTCCTCGTCTGCCGCCGCCTTTTTGAGCCATCTTGGCCTCTCTAATCCGCCTCCCGTCCTCGATATCCACATTCTCCATGTTCCTCACGCGCTCAGTGATATCTCCGCCGCCGACACTGAGGACAAGGTACGTCTTGACGTTCTTGGTGCCACCGTCGTCCTCCAAGATCCCGGCGCCGAACCCAGCGCGAACGGCAGCCTGGGAAATCATGTTCCGCTGCGCATCGTTTTTTGGGTAGAACTGCAGGACCGCCCGCGCACCTCGTCTCAGAGACGCGTACAGGCCGTCAAAGAACCGTCTCAGCCGGCCCTCGGGGGATACCCCGCTCGACTCTGCATTACAAAGCCATTGTACCGCAGAGATACTAATGGCGGCATCAAACGTTCCAGCGCGAAAGGGGATGCCCTGGCCCATGTCCGCTAAGAACAAGTCCCCCTCCACATCTTCCCTCTGCAACGCAATATCTAACATACTGGGCGAAATGTCCATGCCGACCCAGATGTGGCCATCTCCTGATAGAATCTCACCTGAGAGCCCCGAACCGCAGCCAATGTCGAGGATAAACGAAGGACAATCGAGGTCGAGGAGTTCTAATGCGCGATTGGTCATAGAACTCTGAATCGACTGGATACGCGACGAAGTCGTGTACTTGGCCGAGGCGGTGTCATTGTAATACAGGTCCGGCGGGAGGAGGTCTTCGGGGCGAGACATGGTTGCGATCCGCGGTGAAGGAAGGAAAATGTAAACTGTATGTTCTGGGGTTGGTTTTGCTTTTATTTTGTCTAATGTGCCAGAGGCGCGAAAAGGATACTGAGTTCAAGGGTGGAACATCTTGCACTGCAGTTGTTGCAGATATTCACTAACGCGGCGGGAATCGCACACGAAAATTAAATTTCTGGTGGAGAACACGGCGTGAGGCTTTCGGGGGCTTGGGAGGCTTCAGCCTCGCCGCGAACTCCCTAGCCTTGCGCGGGAGCAAGAGGGGCCTACAGCGTTAGTCCAAGTACGGAGTGCTAACTGTTTAATCACTCTCAAGGGAGCCTCGCGGCTCGTTTCCTCCAGCTATGAATCCCATAGGGTAGAATACAAGTACACCTATCAATGCATACGGGTAGAAGGCATAGCCAGGAGGATAGATGAATTCCGGTTACGACAGTGGATTGTCTGATTGATAATACGTAATCGTCACGCACGGGGCGGCCGAGACTAATTTTACCTAGAGCGAGGTATCCTCGTTGTGTATGTTCGTAGCGCACAATGTTATTTCTTTCGTCTTACCGGGCCCTGTCTGGAGTTGGTTAAGTCTGTTCGTCGTCCTCAGCATTCCTGGTAAAACAGGCCTTGTCGATATGTGGAGACAATGCGTATTACCGTGAGCCACTCATTTAAAGATTATTCGGACAGACACTCAAATACTCGCGGCTCGTCGTATATAGCCGACGCGAAAATGTATAAACTACATCAGGATACGATCTGACCAATTTCATAGGCTGTATATACATATTGCCGTTTTCTTTCTTCTGTTGCTGCAATTGAGCAAAGCGCACCAACCTGACATGCGCCAATTCCGACTTTTGCCGACGACTCCTGGAGAATGGCAACAGGTAATTCTCAAATGAGTGTAAGTAGGTAGAGGCTTTTGACGTTAGATGGAAAGACGGAATCCCTGCCAACCCCTCCCAAAACACAGAGGTGAATAAATGGATATTTCTTGACCTTGCGCTCGACGGCTATTGCATTCAGTCCTTGGTGTTGCGATCTGAATCGGCAACCACAGCATCGACAACATCCTTGTTGAGTCCTTTCCAGTTCTGCTTGCCCCACAAGAACCACAGAGCCAGCGCAACAAGCTGGACAAAAGCATTGATCGGGAGGGCGTAGTTCATATCAGAACCGTTGATGGGGAGAAAGGATGGGAAGCAAAGGAAGACCATGATGTATGCCGAGTAGATGACTGCAAAAACGTTGATGTAGATACCCCAGCGTCCCAAGGACCAGCCCGACGGTTCGACTCTTCCTCTGTATCGGGCCCAGATCATACAGGCAATGGCCATGAGGTACGACTGGTACAGGCCAAGCGTCGAAAGCGCGACAATAACGTTGAAGGCAACGCTGCTACCGATATTGAGTAGAGCCAGCAACATGACAATGAAGACTGGCAACCAAACTGAGCGGACAGGAATGCGGTGCTTCGGGTCGATGTACGAGAAATAGGCGGGCAGCGCCCCATCTCGAGACCAGGCCCAAGTCAATCGAGATGCAGATGCGATACTGCCCAGACAGCAGGCCAGAGTGACGATCATCGATAGACCGACCATCGCGGAGCCAGCCCTTGTGGACTGCGTCGCATTGATGCAAATGAGGAGAAGAGGATAGCCCGAAGAAAGCAGTTCGTTGACATCTCCTGCGCAGAACAAGAAGACGAGCACCATTCCGTATGCAAGGGCACCATTCATGACAATGCTCCAGAACATGGCTCTCGGCACTGCATGTCGCGCTTTTCGCACTTCTTCAGACATGTGGACCGCTCCATCGAAACCTGGCACACTTTATCAGCATCAGGAAAACGCTAAGATGTGTCCATCTATATGTTGCCTGCGACTTACCTACGAAACCCCAGGTAGCAGTAAGCATACCGAGGTTGAATGAGATATACTCGTTGTTCCAACCGGAAAGTGCCGACTTTTCCAAGAAGACGAAGTCCGCTGTATGGCGAGGCGCGAGGGTGACCAACACCGAAACGAAGACTACCCACATGATGATGTGTAAGAGACCAGAGAGCAACTCAATCCAAGGAATTGTCCAGAAAGCGAACTGATTCATCAAGCCTTGGACAAGGAGCAAGGCGTAAATGATCAGAGTCACATGCCATCCGTGCGGAATGTAGGTGGGATAGTTGGCGATGACGAGTGCTTGGATCATGAGAGCAGCGATGTTGGCCACGCCAGCCAGCAAAGAGATCCAAGAAAACCAAGTAATCCAGCCTTGCATCCAGGTGATGAAGCGTCGCTGCGACGGTGGCGCGAGGTAGTGAGTCCAGTGGTACTGCGCACCTGCGATAGGCTGTACTGAAGCCATCTCAGCCATGGACGCAACCTGACATAGCACACCCGAGATGACAACCAGGTAGCCGAATGAAAGAGAACGAGGACCGCCATTCCAGAAAAAATATGCGATGTTTCTGTCTGCAATTAGCTTGCGGCTGGATTGGGAGGCGAAGATATCAATCGTACGATGCGATGGCCTCCCAGGACGACATGTAACTGAGCGCGAAAAAGAAAATCTGTGCGAAGCTGAAAATTCTCTGTGATCTGTCTTAGCCTTTGCGGGCATGTCATATTTGCTTCTAGATAACTTACTCGAACTCTTGTCGACGTGTTTCTTGTTCCCTCCGTCCTTTGGCCACCATACTGCTGGGCGAACTCTCTCTTCTCATCTTCAATGTTGACCTGAGGGGTCTTGATCGACAGCATCTCGTGAGACTCCATCTTGGGCGAAGAAAGTCGTGGACAACACTCGAGATTCCAGAAAAGGCGCTGGAAGATGAGATGAGTGAGATAAAGGAAAGAGAAAGAGTGACAGGCTCAACGACCTGCAGGTTATGGCTCGCCGGCTTGCCGATGTCCCCTGAAAAAACGTGGACAGTTTGCCGAGATTGGGTCTAGGCCACGCGAAGGCAAGCAAGCGTGCAGAGAGCAACGTGCCGTGATAGAAGAAACGCCAGGGTGATAAGGGGATTGAAAATAAAATGCCTTGATCGGTTCATGGCCTTACCTACAAGTAGGTCGACTTCGAAGGCTCGGCTGGAAGAGTGGTGGAGGGTCTGGGGAAATCCCACCAATCAATCTGAGGCGTTTCTGAGGCAGAACAGACGGTGAAGAGAACTATAGAATATCCCTGACGCTCGGCAAAGTGTTGTCGAGACTCGAGAAGCATGGCTGCGTGGTTGCATGGCAGTGATCGGTTGCCTCGCTATCGAAGGTGCAAATTTCCCCACCGCTTGTATAATCCTGTACGTGTAGGTTTCACTCAGCACGCACTTGAACTCGGAGCGAGCCCCTACCGGAAGGGCGAAAACAAAGAGGGAGAGGGAAGGAACCATGGTGTGAGCATGGGTTACAGAGCACTAAAAAGGACCCAAAAGGCCCAGACAAGCATGATAAGCTCACTACTCCGTTTAAAGCAACCCTTTGTCCAAGACGCCATGGGCCGCGCTCGGCAAAATATGCAAGTGGTTTGATAGCAGCCAATAAGCCATGGAAGCATACAAAGGACAGGGTCAAAGGGACAAAGAGACCGACTGAGGCTGCAGAGGCTACTCCGTATTCTGCCATTTCACGTACTCGGGGCGGGGAATGAAGGGTGGAATGTGGGGCGGGCCGCTTTACAGTATGCAAAAAGGTGGAAACGGATTTCAGTCCCCGGCTGTCGATCCTTCGGATTATACTATATTTGGTCTACTGCAAAATGCGGCCAAGCAATGCCAGCACTGCAACCCTCGAGCTCTTTGTCCAACCCAAGATTTGGATTGGCCACCTGCCCATCTTGTCGAGGGGATGATAAGCCAAGGGTTGTGCCGCATGTCAAACTGCGTCCATTCTTATATGCAACGTTTATCAAATTGATGGGGGTTAAAATGAGGTTAGTGCCTGTGGGCTGTTGTAAAGCCTCATTCGTGCATCTAAATTTGCATACGAGGTAGTACAAGTACATCAGAGCATTGCAGCCTGCTGCAACCAAGGCTGTATCAAGGAACGCCACCACGGACCAGGGTAGCGTAAGAGGCACCCCAAGGGTCAATCCTCCGTTGGCTTTCCCTGATGGGTACTCGGTACGACACTTCCAAGGGGCCCGCTTTGTTCCGCTAGCCTCGTGCCAACACTACCAAGGACAACTTTGTTTCCTTTGAAATCTCCAAAAGGCCTAGGCAGCATGCCTGAACCAGAAGCGCTGGCCGCTCCTTGTGGGCCTTCCAAGTATGGTTCTCAAATCAGAGGAAGCAACAAGAGTGTTCATCGACGTGGCTCTTGTGCTTGAGCATAGGGATCGGCAGTGACAAAAAGCTGATGCGCATACTTAGTCTTATTCTGAGCGAGGGATACAGACATCGATACGTGTTGCTGCCTTGCAAGACTGTTAGCCGACGCCCCCTGAGGCCAGACGCATTTCGTGATCAATTCAACTGGTCCGCAATTTCTCGCCAGAGCGTCGCAGTGGATTGGCATCGCGCGAATCCTCCATTCCCCTGGCAAGCAAACGGAGACAACTTGCGCAGCATCCCGATTTCCGAACCCCCAATGAGTCAAGTGGCTTGTCGACGCTGAGAGGCCGAGGGTGACCTGTTGGCCAAAGTGCGGAGTCACGAGCATTTCCGAGCTCATGATTCTAGTTTTGTCTCCTGCCTCAAGACTGGGTTCAAGGGAAAGGGATAGTTCATCAACACAACCAACCCTCTGACATTCACGGTCTCAGATGTACTTGTAGGCAGTGAATCTGGACTTGACCAATGTTCCAGAACATCTCCTGACAAAATATATACTAGAGTCTTGTCTTGGGTGCCCGTATGAGCGGTTCGCTTGGAATCGGTGGAAGGGTCGGATACAGTTCTGGCCTGGTGTCCCTGTCTGGTAAGTGAGTTGATGGCGTTGCTCCCGGAAAACGAGCCATGTCGGTTGCATTGGTTCTTTGACCTTTTGCATTAGCAGACCCTGTTCCTGACTCCTGCCAGGGGGGACAGATTGGCTAAGACTTTAATTCACGTATAGGGTGACGAACTACTGTATGTTTGGGCAGCGCGGCCGTCGGCTAGCAAGTCCTCCAGGCATTCAGTGCTCCGTATACCGTGGGTTTGTTTTTGGGACTTCGATGAAAAAAGGACGCCTAGCTTAACTTACAGAGATATACCATACCGTCCCCCTTGAGGTCGTTCGTTCCTCCCGTTACCCGCACTTCGAAGCAGGGTGTATATAGCCATCTCGCACAATCAGCCTTCTCGACATGTCGGGCAGCGATACCGGCGACGGTGGTATCTATGAACCTCTTCTTCCGCCATTTCAAGATATCACCCCGAAGAATCGAGGGCCGATTGCATTAGCGACTGCAGTGACTCTACTGGTCATCTCTTCGTTGACTGTGGGTGTCAAACTATGGACCAGATATGCGACAACCCGGAACTTCGGCGCAAATGACATTGCGATGTTCGCTGCTATTGTACGGTCAAAGTCCCCCATCTTCATGTGGCTGGTTTGTTAACTCAGCTTTGCCGCAGACACTGGCATATGGGCAAACTATATCTATCGCCATCGCAGCTGACAAGGGATTGGGCCAACACCAAACAACAATCAAAGAGCCAGACCTTATTGAACTCAGTAAAGTAAGCAGACCCCAAACACCTGCACACACGGCTTGAAAGACGCTGACGGGGGGATCAGTATTTCTACGCTTCCAACATTCTTCTCATTGTTGCGTTGGCTAGTGCCAAAGCAGCAGTAACTCTGCTTATCATTGCCATTAAGCCGTTGCGATGGGTCATGTTCGCTTGCTACGGGATGCTCGGCTTCGTCGCAGCATGGGGAGTAGCGGGCGTCTTCGTCGTGGCCTTCCAATGTTCGCCAAACCATTGGGTACTCGGCCCAAGTTCGGGTGCTGATCCGCAAACTTGCATCGATCAGTATGCGATGCAGGTGGCACTCAGGGCCATGGATATCGCCAGCGACGTAGGAATTGTTCTCTTGCCTGCGATGATGATGCGGTCGGTCCAAGTCTCCAATGGCAAGCGGTGGATGGTGGTCACACTGTTTGCTATCAGACTGGCGTAAGTGTCTCTAGATCTGTTGTTGAAGTCTTTCTGACTGGAAGTTTTGCAGTACACCGGTATTCACAGCCGTATCGATCATCGCCTATGACGATTTCTACCATTCGGCTCCCCAAGATCGCACTTGGCATGCAGTCACACCCTCCGTTTGGACATCCTGTGCGTTGAACCTGTCAATCGTTACAGCCTGTATCCCTTCAATCAAACGTTTCCTTGCCGACTGGGCCGCCGGTCTCAGCGCCGTGACCATATCTGAGCCTTTCGAGTTGGAGCATTCTGCCGGCAAGACTGGCGCCGGCATCACATACGCAGCAGGCAGTGGTATGGGAAGCAAGATCGCGACAAAGTTAGGGCTGTCATCGACCAGCAAGGCCGAAATTACCTCGACCGTGCGAAGTCGGAGTGACAATGAAGACGAAGAGACCATCCGGAACACCAATAGAAACCGCTCGCGCGGTGCGGGTGGGCGGCAACCAGACAATACATCAGAGAGTGTCAAAGGCCTCACGGATGGAGTGATCATGCACTCGATCGATTACCGCGTCGAGTATGAAGACCAGGGCACGGATCATCGTGACTGGAGCAGTCGCAGCAGCGGCGGTCGCTGAATATCCTCCGACACGAGGTGAATGATGGTTATATAAAAAAGAGGAGGGACGGGTATCTATATGTACAATACGATACAAAATTCACTGAGGAAGGGTGTATCAGCGCTAGGGAGCGATCCTGGCCATGGAAATGCTGGAGACAGGAAGGAGTCGGTTCAGAGGCTGGCGCCATCAAAAGCGAGCGCACGAAGGGTCGGTTGTCTGTTAATATACTATACCTCGTCCAAAGCATTTCTGATTCGTCTGTTTTTTGTCCTGAACGAGGCTCTCTTCATGGTGGATAACTTGTCGACGAAATAACCTCTTGATCCGGATGTTCCCCGTAGGTGTCCGTGCTGGTATGTTCTCATTTGTAAAAGAATCCACCAAGAAAGTGTTCGCGGCGACGCGGCACCAGGCGGCTCCAACTCTGGTCCCCCAATGTGCCCCCACTGTTTGCCCAGTTTGATCGCTTAGCAAACACGCCAAGAATCCTTTTTGAGGCTGAATCGACGTCACCTTCGCAGCGCAGGCGCAGGCCACCTCTCTACATGTTGTCCCTGTCTGCCCGCAGTTGACAACTGGTCTCAACTTGGACTCCTTATTCCACCCTCTTCTCCATGGCCCTTCCCGTCTTCAACTCTACTTCCCTAACGCCAGCGATCGTCATTGCAGATTCTTGATCTCGACCCGAAGCAAGTTTTGCTCCTGCGCACACAATCGAACCATGTGGATTCTTCCCCTTCTGGGGTACACCGGCCTCATATTAGGGTTCGCATTTCTTACCCTCTCTATTGCATCGGGCCTCTATTACCTCTCTGAGCTTGTTGAAGAGCACACAGTTTTCAGCGCAAAACTACTCAAGCGCCTCATTTATGCCGTGGTCATTGCACAGTTACTTCTCTGGCTCGTCGATGGATTCCCCTGGTATCTCATCCTGTTGGGGGTTGCCAGTCACGGCGTCTACGCGACAAATCTGCGGCATTTTCCCATTGTGAAATTATCGGACCCTTTTTTCCTTACGAGCTGTGCCTTGGTTATACTTAACCATTGGTTATGGTTCAGACACTTCAGCGAGGCAACCACAAGAGGAGGTCCATACAGGGGTGCTCCACCCAGCAGCAGGCGAGATTGGTATTCGACAGCTCCTATATATGATCAACCTACTTTCACCGAGATTGCATCATACTTTGGACTGTGCGTGTGGCTCGTCCCATTTGCACTCTTCGTTAGCCTCAGTGCTGGAGAGAATGTCTTGCCAAGCATGGGATCCGAATATGCCACAGGAGAAAGAGGGGGCGTCGGCTTTAAGAAGGGTCATAGGAGAAAAAATACAGGAATGGCCAAGGCAGCTGTACATGCTACCAGAGAATGGGTTACAGAGACAGGCGCTGTGATGGGGTTCTGGCACGCCGATAATGTCCGGCCTGTATAATGATAACAGCTGTGGATCAGAGACCCAGTCTCGTCAAGAATTGGTCGCTATGTCTTGGCCGTGAAGACGCCAGTTTAATGTCTGTGGAGGGATGCCTGCTACAATCATGGCATACCACCAAAAGCTCGACTAAGGATAAGATGAAGGTGTGGAATGTGTCCGTCAAGTCCCTTCTAGGGGAGCCAATGCCACCGTTTCTTTTGGCCCAGAGACCAATTTGGCGCGGCCCTTCCAGAGGAAAGACAGCAAGACGAACAGGAATGGCAAGGTCATTTGACGAACCCGAATGAGTCAAGATTCATGACCCCCTGGAACCGATCAGGGCCACGCAGTTTCTGGGAATTTCGGCGAGGCCTGGTTCGCAAAAGACCGCAATCCAGCTGGGTCTAAAGTGATTGTTGGTGACAGAGCCGCGCAGCTTTATGCCAAAGTCCATATGCCGACAGGAATTGCGATTTGAAAGCGCAGCTCTACCTTTTTCTCGGAGCTTGAATCTACTTTGAATTTTTGCTGCATTGGTGTCTTCCATATGAGAGTTTGCCTGGGTGAAGTCCCCTACCAAAGGACAAATAGCGCCAATGGAATACATGACACACATCACCGGCCACTGGGATTGAGAGTCAGATCCACGACCGCCGTAAATGTTGACCGGGAGAAACGGGCGCAAATATGCCATGGAATCGGCAGAGTGTTTTGTTTTCGCTTTCCCTTCTTCGGGGTTGAGAAGGAATAGAATCACCAGATGTCAGCGACGAATCATCTGTGCGTGCAGGTAGGAAACATTATGTAGGTTCAAATAGTGATCATGATGAAGATGAAGTTGATTGAACTTGGAAGATCCAAGCACGGAGGTATAGAGCAGCCGGGAGATTATCTGCCGAGCAGAGTAGAGTACCAGTAGACCAGAGTCAGCCTTCCTTCTCACTCTTGTCCATCTCCCTTTTCAGCGAGGTTAATTAAAAGTACACCTGTACACCTATCGGGACGTACATACATCCATATCTAAGAGAAAAAAGCGTCAGACAAGGTCAAAGCAAAACAAAGTAGAGAACTACATAGTACACAATTCAAGCCCCCCCACCGCCACGGACGCCAACATCAGGCCAAAACCGCCTCTCGACGTCCAGAATATGTCTCCAGACCGCCCGGTAGACGTCTAACTTGCGACCGACGGCGTCCTCGCGCTCGGCCAGAAGGTCAGTCAACTCGGCGATCTCAGCGACGAAGGCTTCGAACTGTGGGCTCGTCCAATTTGGGATGAATGCGTCGCGGAGCGCGCCGCCGTCCATGTCGCTCGAGTGAGGAGGCGCCTTGCAGTCTTTGGTCGCGGTTGTGGCCCCCTTGGTACCATCGTCGTTGCTCTTGTTGTCGTTGTTGTTGCTCTTTTCATTCTTTTCTCTTCCCGTCTTCTCGTTGTCGGTCTGCGCGGCGTTGACCTCGCTCCCCTCTAGTTCGGACATCACTCCTTCCGCTGGAGCACTCAATTTAGTTGGCTCCATCACCTCTCCACCACCGCCATCAGCAGCAGGTTTGCCCCCAAAAGATCTAGCATAATTCCACGCACTGAGGTACACGGTTTCGGTCGCCCACAATACGACCATACCCTCGAGCAGACTCATGCTGGGATCGGTCCAAAAGGCCCGGAATAGATCAATGTACTGCTTCGTGGCCTGCTCAGCTGTAAATATTCCGTCGGCGCGACTTGGCATGTCTAGTTCCAGGCCATACTTGGCTGCCGTGTCTGCGAAAAATTTCAGCTCGGTGTGAATATTCTGCAGGGCGCCGGTGAGGCAATTCACGATGCGCCAGCGCAAAGAAGTCGCTTTATCCACGACGTTGACGTAGGGTAAGTCGACGCGAGCGATGAGAGAGCCGATGAAGCCGATGTAGGATTGCGCGTAGAGACGGTCTTGGGAGAGCCAGCGCGATAAAGTGTGTTTCGGAAGGGTTCCTTGCCCAGCCAGACGGAGGAAGGGATGTTCGGTTGCTTGGGCAAATTGTTGCGGGGCAGAAGCCAGGAGGATACTTGTTAGCGAGGGCGGAGGTCCTGTCGCTACTGGGGGCGACGAGATGTATAGGGGGTTTTGGATAAGCGGGTGAGGAGGAGGGTTGTGAATGTGACTACTTGGGTAGAAGTAGGTGGTAGTGGTGGTATTGTATGCGTTTGGGTTTGTTTGTTGGACATTGTAAGTAGGATTATAGCTCTGATGGGGATGGCTCCCTTGGCTCATGACTCCAGTGGTCCCGGACGAGACGGACATCTGATCGCTCATGGTGGATTGACGGTGAATATAAGGGCCAGGAGGGCCCTCTTGGGCGTAATAATGAGGGGAATTGTTCCACATGCCGTCGACAGGATCTTAAGAGGGTGGTCGGCAAGGCTGAGAAAAAAATGATCCCCTAGTTCCAATATATTTGTTCCTCGCCGAGGTCAGTCAGAGGAATACCTCGCCCTAGTTCGAAAAAGAGGGCCAGAGAAGGGAGGGAAATCCCTGGTCAAAAGGTTGATACAGCAAATGTCGTCGCGAGGCCTTTCCCTTCAAGATTCCACGGTTCCTCACAAGGCTGAGTGAGTGACGCGTGGCCTGGATCAACAGAGCTTGGACGAAAACTAAGCACCAGAGGGTTGACAGAGGCCACGGGCGGCAGAGCAACGGACTGGGGTGGAACAAGCCAAATGCGCGCGAGAGGAATATGTTGCAGTCTGGAATAATCGGGTTGGATGCACAAAAGCGAGATAATAGACAAGTGAGAATGAGTTCTGGCTTTGTGGGAGGCCTTGTAAGTTGTGGGAAGCCTACGGTTGACTCTCACCACCCTTGACTGCCTAGAAGAGGAGGAGCAGTATCTGTCGGCTGTCGGGTCTTCAGCTCGCCTCGCGTCGACAACTGACGACGTCGTGCCTCGTATTATCCAAGTCTTAAAGGGTACCCGAAATTGCGAGCCAAGTGCGGCGCGAAACTGGGCGTTTCTTCGGCCAAGACGCGGGAAGCCAGGGTGGGAGAAACTGATCAAAAACGAAGATATGCGGTCCACGAGCATTACTGACGTGCTCGATATAGAGGCTCGCCTAAAACGCCCTTGTCGTCGTCGTCGTCGTCGTCGTCGCCCTCCTCCAGCCCAAGGAACTAACTGCCTGGGTCTTTCTTCTGCTCTAAAGGTGTCCTCGTGCCTCGTAGAGCCGTCACACTGCGCTGAGAGGCTGTATGTGGTGCTGTAGCAGTGAGGGCTGGCTCCGGTGAGCTTCGCAGGCCGCGACGTCTTTTCTCTCGCTGCGATTCGCCCAAAGGTCTCCGTAACCACCCAGAAAAGCCCAGATTCGGTCATCGGATATCGAAAAGTCAAAATGCAGCTGTTGATAGCACTAAACCCAAGCTTTCGGTGGATGGAGAGACTTCAGCCGAACATTTCCGCGATAAAGGTATTCGAGACATCCAGCCAAGTCACTGCTGCCTTGTGACAAGAAGAGAAAAGACGCGGAGGAGGAAAGGACAAAGTCCAGGACAAAAAGAAGCCAGCCCAAGTCGGTCTTTAGGGCAGGATTCAGGATTCGGGAAAATGAGTTTCTCGTGGTAAGAGGCCACCAACAAAATATAGTAAGTCGACGACACAGAGACGGCGAACAGGGGGCTAGGTGACGTCGTCGATATAGCTTTCGCCCTCTTCTGTTTGAATTCCTCGGGGTGTCATCGGAGGCCTGGCCATCGATCAATCCCTCAATCGATCAGCCATCTCTCTCTGTCACCACCATCATCAAAGACGAACTAGACAAGGAACATCGACGCTTGGCCCTCCCCATCCAGAAATGCCTCGAGTCTTCCTCATCACCGGCACGTCGACTGCCTTTGGTCACGACTACGCCCAAGAAGTTCTGGACCGCGGCGACATTGTGGCCGCCACAGCCCGCGACCCGTCACAACTGTCTTTCACCAACACCGGCCCCGAAACGTACCTGGCGCTCCGTCTCGACGTCACAGATAAGGACTGAATCGAGCAAGCCTTCTCCAGGACGCTCAAGAAATTTGGCCGCATCGACGTGGTGGTAAACAACGCAGGCTACGGTCTCTCGGGCTGTTTCGAAGAGTGCATTGACGAGGAGATCCGACGGCAGACGGACATTAACTTCTTTGGACTGCTGGACGTCACCGGCGAGGCGTTGGAGACTATGAGGGACAAGCAGAGACCCCAGGGCGGGTTGATTCAGCAGATCACGAGTATTGGTGGCCAGAGGGGGGTGCCGTTCTTCAACATCTATTGTGCCAGTAAGTGGGCCGTCGAGGGCTTCACAGAGGCTCTCAGCCATGAGTTGAAGCCCGGGTGGGGGATTAAGCTCACCCTGATCGAACCGGGCGGGTTCAGGTACGTTTGTTCTCTATTCATCCTTCACGCGGCGATGATTGCGGTGGTTGCAGGCTCTTTGTCGCACTATCATGCTCTTCTCGATTCCACATCTGCCAGCACTGACAATCTTACAGAACAGACTGGGCCGGTCGCTCCATGACCTTTGCTAAAAGCCATCCCGCATATGACCGTACGTCTCTTGTCTTCGTTATTTTCTTAGCCTCCTTTCTTTCGGGCTTACGCCCCGGACCACCTCATCCATAATACCAACCAATGCTAACAACAAACTCAGATCTCAACGCCGAGATACACATGACCGCCCGCCACAGCACACAGGCAGGGGACCCCAAGAAGGGCGCAAAGGCGATGTACGAGCTGGCTGTGATGCCCAGCCCGCCCTTGCGGGTCGTCGTCGGCATCGACGCATACAAGGCGGTCATGAACAAGCAGGAGCAATACGAACAAAACTACACAAAATACGCCGCGCTGAGTAATTCGACGGATGTGGACGGCTGTGTGGCGTCGCAATAGCTGGCCAGCTACATCCTAGGGAGATTGCTGGAGTGTGGGTTGGAAATAGACACTTGGGCAGGAGATGCAGACTGACTTTGTTACATAACTCCGTACCTGAAGTAGATCGGATAGACTGCATGAGATGCATTGAACTCATCCAGAGCGTTAAGAACACCCCGGGACGATTTTTGCTGGACTTGATCATGAAATCGACGGATTGCTGAACATACTTCCTTTCTTCTAAGCAGCTGTATTCACGTCCCAATCGCTCCATGTCTTTCTCCGATGCAACTGCCTTTACGCGGCAAGCAGGAGTCCAAGTTCCGTACGGGGTCATTGCCGCTCTCCGGTCCATGGACAGAAAGAAAAAGGTCTGTAATATACATATACACATGGGTGATGAATAAGAGAAACAACAAACACAATCATCTGACCCGTCAGTCAATGAACTCATTCCGATCCCACGCCCAACTGGGCCTTGTCATTTACCCACACCCCCTTATCGCCGTCGCGAGTTGTGAGATCATCATGGCTCCATCGCATTGGTCTTTGCCTGTGTCGAAAACCTGGCCCAACCAGCCATCTTGCCTCAACGCCAAAGACCACACACAAAAAAGAGAACGCCCGGTCTTTTGATCCTGCAATGCCCCATCAAATCGAACATTGAATACGAGGCAGTAACAACTTAAAAACAGAGTTGAAGTTAAAAAAAAAAAGCAACATGAGGGGGTATCTGTAACATGCCCAAGCAAAATGCTAGAATCGGATAAACCCCGGCAGAATACCCTGTTAATGCTTTTGACCGTGCCATGTTTTTTGCTTTTCCATTTCGAACTTCTCATCGAGTCCGAACAATATCTGTAACGTCATGTTCACTTTTCCTTTTCGTCTGGTGGCGAGCAAAATCGTTGTTGCTTAAGAGTGCTCTGTCTCATATGGAAAGACGTTTCAAACCCGTTGCTGTTGTTGCTGTGTAGCGCTGGCCAGTTGATGTTTCAATGAATTAATCTCGTCTTGCATTTTGTTGATCCGTTGCTCCAAGCTGGTCACATATGCCCACAGTCGCTCCTCTTGCGCAAACATGGCTTTAGACGTTTCTCCGCTGCCATGAACTGAATGGCCGTGACTCGATAGACTGTTGCTATGAGACGACAAGGGACCACTTCCGCTCATGTGAGTGGGTGGGCCACTGGGCTGAGTAGGAGGATGTGCTGGCCCAGCTTGACTGGGTAGGGTATATCTCGCGTCCGGCGGGTTTAGCGCATGAGGAGGTGGTAACTGTGGGCCACTCGAAGGTACGCCCAGAGAGGAACCAGATCCACCACCGGATCGCGCGTGCGGTTGTGGATAGAAGGTCGTGCTTGGAGACCGGTTGCGGATGTTGCCGTCAACTCCAGAAACTTGGCCCCCTCGCTGCGTTTGACCAGGTGAAAGAGGCTTTGGACTCTCTGTTATTGGATTCTGCGGGTAGACTGTACCTGGAGCCGAGGGCCGTGAGCTCGAGGACGATCCAGGCATAGGCGGAAATGGCATTGGCGCAGATGAAGGCACGGCAGCATTGCTGGGGCCTGAACCGGGTTGGTTAAACCCAGGTCGAGGTGGGAAATGACCACTGGCGATCCCTCCAGGAGGGCGGCCCTGTATCGGAGGATATGTGCTGGGAATTCGAGATGCGCGGGCAGGATCGTCCAGTGTATCGTCTCCAGAAGGTGCTTGTCGGCGGATACCCGGTCGTTTGTCATTGCCCTCTTCATCATCCAGAGGCTCAGGTTCACCGTATACCACGCCCTCCATTGATTCGTCAGCTTCCCCTTCTTCTTTACCACTAAAACTACCCATGCTGGATCTCCGTCCAGCGCAACCTCCAGGACCTTTGTTATGACGGGCAAGAGCATCGCCCCGGGCAAACTTACGGCCACATTTGGGGCATATATGAGGTCTTTCGCCGGTGTGAAGCTTTGTGTGCCGCTTGAGGTCATGAAGTCGGCGGAACCGCGATGAACAGGTCGAGCAAACGTAGGGTTTTTCTTGGCTATGCGTTAACAGATGGCTCTTCAGATTGTGATGACGAGTAAACTCGGTGGCGCAGTAGGGGCATCTGTGCTTTTTGCTGGAAGGAGATTTTGTACCTTGTCGTGTGCCGGAATGAGGCAAGCTCATCCCTCGTCTAGCAGCGTTATCCGCTACTTGTGGTTGCAAGAAGGGGGTTGGATACGAGAGCGCCCCCGTCTTTGGGACACCGCCAGGGGAGGTAGAGCCTGCCTCTGCAGCATTCACGACCTGACGGACTGTTTCTTCGATCGCAAGTGGGCTGCCCACGGTGGTAGTCATCCCCGAGACGCCCGGCACGCCTTCCAAGGTTCCCATCGTCCCACCGCTCGATATACTCGTGGGACTAGTCAGCGCTGCGTGGTTGTCTCCAGCGGTAGAAGCTTCGGGAACAGATCCAGCCGGCTGTTGAACATTTTGCGCAACCACAGCTAGTGGTTCGCTGACTGTAGTCACAGGATCTGAGGGAATATCTGACGTTGGCTCGGCAGCTTTGCTCGTCGCATTCTGATTTGCGCCCATGAGGGCACTTCGGGCTTGATAAGGGGGGTTCGGACTCGTTCCAGACTCGGGTGGAGGCGGAGACGGAGATGACTTTTGTTGTTCTTCAGCAAAAGCGAGGGCGGCAGTCATCAGAGGGCTTTCGAGCCTCGGTCTCTTCCCAGGCCGTGACGACTCCTCAAAGCCGTCGCGGGAGCTGGCCTTGGCTTTGGAAGGATGTTGCCCTGAGCTGGGCGGTTTAACGAATGTGGGGGAGATCGGAGCAGAATCCTCTGGGGATATTTGCGGATCTGGGCTGGTTTCAGCCATCAACAAGATCTAAAGTCGCAAGATTCACTGCAGCCTACATGGACAGTCAGCGCAAGAGTCCCTGAGCCCGAGGCTAAGCATGCCACATCTCCTATTGTTTTGGCAATACAGGAGATGTAGAAACAGAGAAGAAAGCCGTCATAGACTGGTCATAAGTCTATAGAGGAAAAGTAATGGAATTTGCGACATGGCCGTTACAGCCGCTTGAGGATGGCGTACCTTTTGCAAGGGGCATAGGTTGATCGGTGCTGGGGCTCCCGAGCTGAAAAAAACGAGGTAGGCTGAGCACGAGGCACTTTTCAGCCTCACGGGAGAGCAGAAGGACTTATTGTACAGATTGAGAGGTTGGCTGGCAGACGCCGATGGATCCCTTTCTTTTTCTTCTCCTATCTCTTAAATACCCTGTAACTAGCGATGCGCAGCATGTTATGGAGGAGCACCGTCTGGGGTAGGCCAGTTTCTCGGTGGCTTTCGCCGTAGGTTTCAGTCGCGGACTAGGCTTAGAAGGCAAGGCCGAGGCTTTTCGAACTCGTGTGTACTTTTATGCGTTCGGTCAAAGGAGCAACTTCACCCCTGATTCAATGAGCGAATTCGAACGAGCTTCGAGGGTCGAACGGATAAAGAGAACGAAGGTGCGAAAACAAGTAGAAGGTCCGTTTTTCGACGGTGAGGGGAAACGGTTGAGGATGCGCGCCGCTGATAGCGACAGAAATATGGTTTCGGAACGCGCCGTAGAAGATGTCGCTCTGGTTTGTTGAAGTCGTCTACGAGAAGAGGTCGAAGGGAGGGACTGAAGCGACGAGAATAAGTGGTAGGCGGGTACTCCGTGCTTGTTTGGCCGAAACGAGGCGAGCGCTGTAAATGCTTCGTAATGGTTGGCAGCAGGTGGGATCTCAACAGGATAGCAGAGTTGAAATGACGGGGATCTTTGACTGTTTGGTTGACTGCAATCTGATGAATCGCGATTGAGAGCGGGGGGTCAAATTTCGAGAAGGAGAGAGGCTCTTGGATGGCTATTGACTCAAAGACTGTCGACTCGTCAGATTGACGGACCCTTGTACCGCAGAGAATTTTTACCTTTTGGCAACAGTAGATGTGTATGGCGAACGGTTCGCGGCCGGCCGAGTGGGAAGGGAAAGGAAAGGAAATGATGAAGACTGGCTCGTATGGTTGTGAACCGGTCCAGTGGTTGAGGGTTACGGGCGATGGAGATGGTGACGGTATTCGAGTGGAGTAGTAGCTGCGAGGAGAAGTCGAGTGGCTCAAGTAGACAGGCCCGTGCTGAACGAACTAATAAAGGGTCCTGCTCTTGGGTACACCCTGGCAGGTGGATTCTGCTGGAAATGGGTTTGTGTTTGTGGTTTGGCGGTGGAACTCGACTTGGCTTGACGTGGTTCCCAAGGGTACGCCGCAACCAGCGTGTTGCTCTGGTTCGATGGAATGGAGAGAGGGAAGTGATGAAAGAGGAAAAGAGGAAAAGAGGCGCAGGCAAACCGAATCGTGATACGCAATTGGGATCGGAGACTGGGGGAGGAAAAGAGGCAGGTTCAAGAGGGCCTGGAAGCCACCCAGCAGCTAGGAGCTAGGAGCTGCACGAAGCTGGACGTGGATTCGTTTTAACTTGTCTCTCGTTAGGCGTGATGGCCACGGGCGGCTCGAAGATCGCAAAGGAAAAAGATAAACAGGTGGCGTCTAGGACGAGGAGCGGGCGCGCAGGACCAGGAGTACCGAGTAGGATCAGGGAATAGTACTACCCCGTAACACCCCCTGTGTCGCTTAGGCCTTTGAGCTACTGATTGACAGTGGGATCTTTGGTTGACTTTTGACGGGCTTGGACGGGTTAGATGTGGCACATGAGTGAGAGGAAAGATCAGCAGGCAAATTTGGAGAGGATGAGGGAGAGAATCGATGCGAAAGCCAAGTGTGGCGGAGAGGAAGGAGTGGCAGTGTTGAGGAGCTCCCAGCCAGTGACGCTGTTCTATGACACGCCTCAGCCCAAGGAACAGGCGCTCGTTGCAGGTTCAGGTCTAACTTCTATGTACCCTAGGTAAGGGTGGCTCGGTGGTTCAGGCATTGAATGAGGCTTGTGACTGCCTGTTTGCTTTGGGGGCCGTTTGTTACAGCCAGCCTCCCATCATATACGAAGTAACATGCCCAAC